TCCTTGGCAAGATGAAAAAAGAGAAACTGAAGAAATCTGGAGGGAAGTCAGCACTGACAAGCCATGAAAACCACCACACTGGTCCATCTTGGTAAATACTACTCAGCTGGGGGGCATCTGGCTATTTACAAGTGAACTGAGTGCTACACTCTTCCCTCCTTCCCATTTCATTGTCTTTTGAACAGACAGGATCTCATAAGATGGGAGGAGATTGCAATTCTGGTGCCAAAGTGCCCTTGTTGGTCTCTTCAGAAGCTGAGAAGTGCTGGCAGCAGCCCAGGACAAGCGACAAAGAACAGGAGGAGTTTGGAGAGCAGCGAGGCTGCCAGAGCACCGTTCAAGAGACCAAACCCAGCCCAGGATGGTGATTGACGACTCTGCTGCTGGAAATGAAAGTGCTATGAATAATCAGGCACCTCTGACCCGGGAAAACATTGCCTTCATTTGCAGCACAAAATTGATTGCAGATGGTACTGGGGAGGGGAGTCAGGCTATTCACTGTGCTTTCCCCTCACCAGAAAAATTCATTTCCTCTTTGCTCTTGAGCAATGAAAAAACACCTGATTGGATCTGCTGAGACACAGAAGATGTGGAATGAGGAGTGGAAGAGCCCACGGGGTGATGCTAAAGGTAATCCTATTAAAACAGTGGGCTAGAGGGGGAGATGCACATATAACTCCTATTTTAACACAGTTTAAAACAAATCCCTTAAAGGAACCAATTATTTTTTGACATTTCTTTAAACTCCTTTGTCACTGCTGCTGAATGGGGTGTTGGATGTCATTCCTTATTCCCCACTTAGCCCTGTCTTTCCAGGGCCTTTGGAAATAAAGTCCAAAGTCAAGGAGGAGGAAGAGGAGGAGGGTCCTTTCCTTGCACCTCTGCAGCCTCACTGGAGGGCAGACGTTTCTCAGATTAGGAAGAAAAATGGGCATCCTGTATTAGGCTGTGATCCACATTTTATTCCATTCCTGGATTAATCCACATTTATCTCTAAATGGGTTAAAGAACCTTTTTTTTTTTTTTTTTCCAGGTTTTACTGTGGAAATATTCTCAGCAAGAACTCAGGTGCCCCTTTTCCCTCCCAGCTCTGCCTGCTCTCCCAGCTCTGTCCCCCCACCCCAGTGACACCTCCTGTGTGCAGGGTGTCCACGTACACAACCCCCAGGTTCGGGCACTGAAAATACAACCTGCAAAGACAAAAAACTGTGCACAACAGTTGCACTGCCTACCAGACTGAAGCTCGAGCTCTGCTCACAGACCTGCAGTTCTTAAAGTGATATTTTCATGCAGCAGGGTAGAAATAATTCCTGAAAAAAAAAAAAAATGCCTACAACCAAGATTTCCAAATTAGGTGCCCATGATTAGGCTTCTAAACCCATAATTAAATCTTTAAGTAAATGGCCTTATTTCCTTGAGTGCTGAACACACAGCTGCTCAGCCTGCCTTTGTCAGGACCAGAAGGATTCAAGGCTCTTGGGAAAAAAGGAATGAAGGAAGGGAGAAGTCAGGCCACTTCCTAGGGTACATGAGGTGGAATTAAAGAGATGGCTTGGAGTCAGTACTTTCAGAAGTAATTCCCATCCTTTTCCATGAGTTTCAAGCCTCCTGCCCAACACATTCAGTACTGAAAAGCAGATTATACCTGTGTACAGGAATGCATGAATTTACCTTTCAGTTCCATTTAAAAGCATTTCACAATCACACAGAAAAATATTAACTGTAGGAATATGAACACCAGAGGGTCTGAGCAGATAAAGTCAGGCCTTAGTGCCACAGAGTCCTGGACAGGTCAGGCTTTTCATGGCCCAGAATCCTGGTTTTAGGGACACAGGGTGTGTTTGCCAAGCCCTGCTCCAGCCCCCTTGGCTGGGGTGGAGTCCCATCCAAACCTGGCACTCTGATCAGGGCATCTCCAAAGGACTTCCCTCAGTGGCATTTGACAGCCCTTACACTGATGTCCTGAACTGCAGCCATCTGATCATCCCAGGGTACGTGGGTAATTTGCATACTAATAACAAAACTGTTCAGAAACATTAAATTACACAAAGTGAGATCCCCTCAGCTTTGATCACCTTCCCAGATCAGGCTCAAGAGTCTCCTCCTATCAACCTTTGCTTCCCTTAGAAACAAAAAGCCTTCTAAGAACCTTTCCAAGGCTTTTTTGGCTTACAATGGGATAATTCTAGAACTGAGATGGATCCAGTGGCTCTGCTGCAATGGGACACAGCCAGTTCCAGCTCCTCAAATGCCAGCAGGACTTGGCAGGGCCCCACAGCTGTTCTTCCATGGGGTTTGTGCCTATTCCAAGGGATGAGGGGAGTGCTCCCTGATCCCAGGCACCCTCAGGGGCAGGGTGGGAGAACCCAGTGCTCAGAGGAGGCCTGGGGAGGGAACAGTGTGTGTGCAAACCAGCAGAAGGATCTCAGGAGAAAACATTTGCCCGGAAAGTTTTGTGGTAGTGGAGGAGTTTTGGGGTTTCTTAGCTTGCAAAAGACAGTTTGGCTGCACAGGTAAGGAGGGCAAAGAGGAACAAAAGAGGAGGGGTTCTGAGGAGAGAGCACCCCCACAGGAGTTACCAATCTGTCACCTGGCAGCTCTGCCCCCTCAGCCCTGGCACAGGGAGATCCTGAGGGGCTGGGAAATCCCAGTCCAGAGCAGTGCACTGGTTTGGGAAGGAGAGAAAAAGTGACATGGGACGTCTCTGACAATTAAAACTGTGCTGAGGGCAAGGTCAGAGACATCAGTGAGGTGAGGGACCCCTGGAGAAGTGGGGACACACCATGGCACTGTTGTGTCTGAGGTGTGTCCTGCACCCATGTGGTAGAAGCTCCAAATAATCACAACTCTGAAGGCCATTTTTATGCAAAGCAGAGCTCTAAAACTTGTTTAAAAAATTATCCACATAAACAGCACTAAAGGTCACCTGTCCCTGCTTTGGGAATGAGGGAAGAAGTGGAGGAAAAGATCAACATGGTTACCTGAATGGAATTATAAAATCCCACCTTTTGGAGCCGTTCCAAAGTGCCTCTTTCCCACTGTTTTGGTTGGAAAGAGCAAAGAAGAAATGTTAAAGGTAGGAGGAGAATATACAAACAATACAGAAAATACACATTATCACTCAGTTGCTGCAAGGGACACGGATTCCATGCAGCAGGAATGCTGCAGGACAAACCACCTCCACCAGCAGCTTCCAGCACCAGCTCTTTCCAGTGTAGAGAAAGCAGCAAATTTAATAACTTTTTTAATCCCTCTAGTTTTCTCTTACTTACATTCAGCTGGAAACATAGAAACCAACAGGTATTTCAGCTGATGCCTAAAGAGAACTTCAGTTCCTTCACTGTCCCTGTGCCAGTGCTCTGTGGCTTTCCCTAATCCAAGTTTTTGGTGGCATGAAAAGAGTGTAATGTCTGGAATAGCTGCAGTTCCCCACAGCCCCCTCCAGCACTGAGCTCACCCCTCAGTGCAGAATTTGGTGCCACCTGCCAAGAAGCAAAATCAAGACATGCAGAAAATGTTATGAAATTCTCCTCCTTTTACAAATCCTGGTGAGGAAGTTCCATCTTTAAGACACAGGAGGCTCTGAGGGTGTTAGTCCTGCTAAAATTCAGCAAAATATAACAAAAAGTAGACACCCTCTGCCCTTAAATTAGAAAGGAAAGAGAGAGGCATTTGAAAAGATGGAACTGAACTAGTGAGAGTGATCCTGCTCATTCCTGGGCTTTCAGGGAGGAGAGAGGAGTAGGAGTAGGAAGGAGTTTGTCACGGACTCCGTGTACCATTTCCAGAACAGCATTTGGCATCTCTTGCTCATATGTCAAATCTGTGCCTGCACAGTGGGCAGATACAGCTTCTGGTTAATTTTTTATAAGAAGAATTTAATGCTGACTTAACCAAAGTGATAAATAGCTCATCTGTTTCCAGGGCAAACCCTGAGCATACCAATGGGGGAGCACTGTGGAGCTGCTGCAATCCTGCCAGGCCTGAAGCTCTTAGACCTCTACAAGCTGCTGCATTCATATCCAAGAGAAAAAACCCCATGTGGGACAAATTACCAAAAGGTCAGTGCTATAATGGCCATGGCTGGCTTTCACAACCAGAAAAACTTGCTCAGTCTTTCAGAACACCAAGTTTTATTTTAAAGGCAGTTATCACACTCTCACTGAGTTTCACAAAAAGTTTCTCTGTTATTTCCCGTGGAGGTCACCCTTCCCTACCTGGGTCAGAGTCAGATTTCAGAACAGATATTTTAAAAATGAGGTAGAAGGAGAAACAAAAACCCTACAGTTGCTGAATTATGGTATTTATAGTGACATTAGACATTAGCCATTACAGGAATGTTGTGCTTTATGATCCTTATGATTTACTGGGAGAATCAGGCAAGATTCATAACACTTCCCAATTCACTTGCCAGCATCTTCCTCAGGCTTTGGCTTTAAGGTGCTGCTGGAAACTGCATCGTGACAAACAATGAAAGTTGGCCCCCCTGATCATGTCTCTGGCACAACAGTGAGACAGCAGATACCACATCCCAGATCCTCTGCACTTGAGAGACAGGAGCTCAAGTAGACAGTTCTATTTAAGTGGTTTTTCAGCTTCTGTTCCCTCCTGACAGGAGATCCTTACCCAAGGCCTGAGGATGTGCTGAAGAGCCTCAAAGGATTAGGAAGGGACCATTAACATGCTACACATAAAATGATCATGACCCCCCTCCTCTTGAATCTGACTCTGACTTTGTAGCATCTCTATTTTCCCAGTTCTACAGACAAATCTCATCCTGCTGAGCACTCACAGACGGGCCTCCCTCCCTAATCCCCATGAGCCACTGTGCCTCCAAAGCTCCTGCCTTGTTGGGGTCAGCTGTGGTGCCAGTGCCAGCTCCATAAAACCCCTCCTGCAGCTCCCCAGCCCCACAGAGTCCCCAGGCCTGGCTGCAGATGGGGGAGGGTTGCCATATGCCAGCGCAAGAGCAATTTTTGACTCACAGTCAAAAGCATCCCAAAAAAAGTCCGTGTGCAGGATTTTCTGCCATATGGAGGAATTGTGATTTGGCCTTTTCTCCAGCTGTATCTCATGAAGCAAAAAGGAAAGAAAAAGGGGAGGATGGGCTTTTCTTCTGTGCAAATCTCGCCCCAGAGTTCATCTTCCTCTGGGAGACTTTGCTGGTAGCTGGAAAACCAAGTCAGAGCAGAAGGAGGCTGTGAGGACCCAGGGGACTGAGGATGTGTTCTGTCCCATTCAACAGGTTTACTTTGGGTCCTTTACACTTTGAACATGAACTTCCCAGGGAAGAGGGAGAAGTGCTGCAGAGAGCCAGGGCTGGTTCTGTAGGGCTGAGACAGAGCAGAGCAGCAGCAGAACCTCCTGTTCCATGCAGTCTGCACTGCTGCCCTACAGCAAAGGATGTCATTTCCTGCAGGCACTGCAGCACTTTGCAGCTGTCACTACCAGCACCTCCCTGGTCCTTGTGAGCTCTGGGGTCTCTTTTGCTCAGCGTGGGAAGTTGGTTTAATCTGAGACTTTGTCTTTTTATAGACACTAATGTGGCATTAGCACAATGCAGATATGGGGGTTCAGATCCCATAAACACCATCCCACCAGCTCCAAGGATAGAAGTTGGACAGACACACAGACACCTCAGGGCCTTTCGGCTTCTCTCCGATCTCCCTCGAAGGACAGAGCTGTCAGGAGGAAAAAGGCTCCTCCAAAGGCCCCCACGAAGGCACAGATGGCAAAGCTGCTCTGGATGCTCCTGAAGCTGCTCTGGAAGGTTGGAGGCCCCCGGGCCTGCAGGGCGTTGGAGACCTGGGGAGGGAACGAGGCTGCATTAATTGGGACAACACTCCTTCCTCCTGCTGGAAACAGCCTGCTCAGTGGGGCCCTGGGGAAGGCTCAAACAGGCACACAGGGATGAGAGTGGGCTCCCCAGGTTTGCCAGGCACACCTGCACTGCTCTCCAACTTCCACTGGTCAAGGAATCTCATGTTCTCCATCCCTTCAGTGCCCCACTCACAGGAGGGGCAAATACATTTTACCATTTCCTGGCCCATCTCCAGACAGCCAGCACAGCACAGGCATTTGGGAATGACCTTTAGCATTTCCTGGTGCTGTTCAATAACTTTATACCTCCCTGCTTGGATAGAAACAGGGGGTTAACAGCAATGCAGGCACAAGCAGCAACACTCTTTAGAAGTTAATTACAGACAAGAGCGGGGGCTGCTTTCGAGCCAAAAGGCCTTAGAGGAGTCATGGAGTGACAAAGTGAGGAACTGGGAGAAGAAGACACCAGGCAGCTGCTTCTTGCACTGGTGGGAGGATGAAGTTGTAAAGGTTATAAACGATACACATGAATTTTATTTTTGCAGACAGAAAGAAAAGCTGATTTCAAGAAACTCAATAAGATTCAACACTCAAGGAACTCGAAATCTCTTCTTAGCATAAACAAAGAGATAAATGTTGAAAGCAGTCATTTTTATTCCCACATTTGTTCTTGATGCTTAGAATGCACTGTGTGATTTGAAATGCACAAATATGAGACTCTTCAACCTTTGCTGGGTTTGGTGTGATTATTCATGACACTTTAGGCAGATAAGAGCAAGATCAACTCTAAATGGGCACCTAGGGACTACAGCAAGCATCATGGCCACAATGCACACCTTATCCATTTAATGTTAAGATGCTTGGCAAAAAAATCTCTGGAGTGCAGAGGGAAGAAAAACAGACTCTGAAAAAGACTATTCCCTGATTATTCAGCCAGATTTTAAGCTACAGGGTTGTCTGAAGCAGGTTAGGAAACAAGAGCAGAATGTGGGAGCAGATTGAGTGTTTAACCAGCAGCAGTGCTGGTGTTTGGGCTCACAGGAGCGTTCCAGCAGAACTGAGTGCTCACTGCACACCATCCCACCTGGACAAGGAGCAGTTTTGTTCCTGGGTTTGGTGTCTCTGTTCTGTCTGAAGCTGCAAGGCTAGCTGAGGTTCATCTCATCTGGATAAGCCTTATTTATCTTCACACTTGTGGATGAGCTGTTGTTTAAGGTGCAGGCCCTGCACACAGGGCCACAGCACCCAGAGGGGCAGAGGATGGGGGTGGGGGCACAAACAGCTTCACCTTTCAGGTAGGAAGCTTAAACAATCGGTCAAGGAGGATGCACAAGAGGTGTTTCAGCTTCTGGGTACCTCCTGTTGCTGCACCCCACATCAGCCACTTCCCTGACACAGGGGTGTTGATTGTTCTGTTCCCACACACAAACAGTGGGAGGGCAGGGCTTTCCTAAAACACAGCAATGAGCAAAGTGGGCTCTTCCTCTGCCAAAACAAGAGGCTGAGCAGGAGGGATCCCTCAGTGAGGGAGGGTGTGTTCTCTGCCAGACACATCACACAGCTGAAAGGCTGGGTTTCCCCAGTTGAGGACAAGGGGAAGCTCAAGTGTGGCTGGTTGGTATGTGCAGAGTTACTGTTCCTAAATCACACAGAATGAAGGAAGGGAATAACAGTGACAGGTACAACCCTCTGGAACTAAAACTAATGAACTGCACAGAGAGAACAGCCCTTGGCTGCTTTGTCCAGAAGCACCTCAGATCAGGAAAAAGTAGGAAGAGCAGAGAAATCAGGTCTCAAGGAATATGGGAATCAAGGATAAGGTGCTTTGAGACCAGAGCTTTGAAGGCCAAGTAGTATCTAAAGGCCAAATTGCATCACTTTTGTTCTGATTTCCAAGAGACCATCAACTCTGAGATTTTGAGTCTTGGCTTTTAATGCATTTGATTAATTTCCATGAAGGTCCTCACAAACTTACCAGAAAGTGCTTAAATCCAAGTACAGTACCCGTGACAGGGTCTTTGCAAAATATGTGTACCTTCAAAAATACACGAGTTTCCAAATTTCAAATCAAAATCCATTTCTACACACTGCATGCAGCCACTCACAGCTGCAAGCATAGGATTGTATTCTACCCACCCACAGTGTCACAGGACCAGGGCTTTCAGGCAGGTAAAAAATGATGCCTGTGTCCTAGAATCAGTGTGAGCAATACAGGTAATTTGTAGTTCTGGACCAGGCGGTGTCTAAGGCTCAGCAAGCAGGGAGTTAGTTCACTTACAGCCCCGATGAGGAATGGGCTCCCTGCATCCCCCAGCAGGTGGCTCAGCAGGATCTGCAAGGCGATGGCCGTGGAGCGGCACCTCGGGCTCACCACGCACTGCAAAACAAAACAGCACCAGAGAGAGCCTCAGCACCGGCAGCGCCTTCTGGGGCATCCCAGACACACTGAGGCGTTTTCTATTTTATGTGACAAGTCTGGAGACAGAGCAGTTCCTCTGGGCAAAAGAGTACGTTGTGTGTTTTGTTGAGGGGAAAAACATTCAGGAAAGGAAGACACAGGAGGGAATGACAATAAAGTAACTCAGCAAGGACTCCCCTTACTGCACAGGTTCATTTGGCCGTGCAGCCATCAGGAGCCTCCAGCCAAGGATTCCTTGCAGTCAGAATGGTTTGCTGAGAAGGGTGTTCAGCACTGACAGCCTGTGGGAAGAGTCTCCTGTGCCCTGAGTCAGCAGGGCTGGTCAGGGTTGCTGGGGGGATTCTGGGGGACCTGGAGCCTGAAGGAGCTGCTGTGGCTGTGCAGGGTGTCAGCTGGGACCTCTCACACCTCTGGGACCAGAAGTGCTGGTACTTTGGTGGCACTGCCTGTAACTGGGTATCACCTGAGATCACTGGATATCAACACCTCCAAATGATTTTGCTTGGGAGGGCACACAGTTTAAATAACAAGTTGGAGATGTGCACAGCCAGGACACAGCAAAGCATCCCAGAGATTAGAACTATTTTGTCAAATGAAATATAGTAATTTGGGGGTAATAAGGGCTTTGTGCCTGTGCTACTGAAGATCAGCTGTGCCTGCAGAAGTACAGGATGATTCCATATAATTTGTGTCTCTTTCAATAATGCATTTACACAAAATGCATTCACAGTCAGAATGAGACAGAAGCAATTTCAAACCTTCATACCTTTGTTTTCCAACCCCTTGCTCATAGCAGAGAAAAAATGCCTCATATTCTCCCAGTCCTCTATCCCACAACTTGGTTTTTGTTTTGAAGCTGATCTAAACATCACTAAGTGTGTCTCAAACACTAATTAAGAGGGTGATTGGTGTTTTACCAAGGCACAAACTCGAGGTATATAACCCATATACTGGTCCTACAGCTGCCTTCAAGGAAACATTCCCATGCTGGGTAAGATGGGTTTAAAAAAAATATTAAGAAAAGATCCTGCTACAACAGACAGGTGCAATAAAGCTATAACAAGAAAAATAGAAGGATGGGATGTTTCCTGTAGTTGGGAGGGTCAGACAAACTCTGCCTGGGCTGTCACTCAGGTTCTTCTGCACGCTGGAAACCAAGAGCTGCAGGCACTGTGGGACTCACTGGGAGAAAAGAAACAAAAGATCCCCCCACAGAGGGACTCTGAAGTAGCCACAGCCACAACCTCCTGCCCAGCCACAGGGACTGCCCAGGGCCCACCTGCTGGTGACATCCTGCACTCCAGCAGCTCCCAGGAGATCCCAGCCCAGGGGCCTGCACAGGGAAGCCCCATGCAGGGACAGTTTGCAAAGCCTGTGGTGCCGTGTCTGGGGGTTCAGAAACCCTCCTGCCCCCTCTGTCCCAGAGCTGTCAGCTGAGACAGCAGATGGAACACAGGCTGGGGGACACTCCTGCACCTCCCAGGGCACTTCCAAAGGCAGGGACATGCTGGTTGCCTTCCCAAGTTGCAGCATCTTCTATGCTGTCAGCTGCCACACCCTAAAGGACAGAGTGCTGTCACCTCACAGCCCACAAACATTTCCATAAGGGAACTCCAGGAACAGCCTCCCAGGAAAGCAGCAGGGCAGCTCCAGCCCCTCCCCACGTGCACATGGAGTGTACATGGAGCTGTACAGCTGGCAGTTCTGTGTTTCCCCTGAACAGGAGGCCAGAGGTGGCTCCATGCACTGCATCCTGATGCACAACCACACAGTCCTTATCATTCAGCCAGCATCTCCCTTTGTCTTCAGCTCCACAGGTTGCAGGATAAATGAATTCCCAGCTCCATTGTCTGGCTAGTAGTGCCATGTGGGAAGAAAGAGAAGTCATTTTCATGGCAAAATAAGAACGTGCATTAGCAAATGCAGCTACATTGTCAGAACTCCTGCCAGTTCACGTGGGAAACAAGACAAAAGGAGGAATTGCTGCTGTTATCTGTGGCACCCTTCAGTCACTGCAACAGCAGAAATACACTGAACCTGTGGGGTTTCAGCAGGACAAAACCCAACTCCCAGATAAAATTGCTGCTAAATGAGCAGATACCCACAAATTCAGCTCAGTTCCATCATTTCTCTGATAAAATGATTAATATTTAGACTTCAGGAGCACATTTGTGGTAATCCACTGAATGTCTGCTCCCAGGGGGACACACCACCACAGAGCTCAGCCAAGCTTGTCACCTCCCCATTTGGTGCCAATTGATGCAACATTGCTGGTACCTAAACCCAAAATACTCTAAAGCAAATGCAGTGAGGAGTCTTGGTCACCTGGGAGACAAGAATCTCCTTCTCTTCTGGATTTGGATGGATCCAGGATATGCAGAGGCGCTGCCCATGAATTCCTGCAGGCTGGGTTGTGATGCAGCATTCCCTGAGCAAACTGAGACTGGAATGATGGAACTGAACCAAAGCCCAGCTCCTTCCAAGCTCTGCAGTTTGGGTTCAGGAAGGAATTGAAGGAATGAGCTGACAGTAACCATCTACCTCGCTTTCCTCATCACCAGTACCTCACTCAGTGTCACCTGCCTCTCTAACAGTGACACAGGACACAATTGAAATGCAGATGAAGGAGTTCAGAGAAAAGTAAATTGAGAAACTTAAAAAAAAATATCCCTCAGTGTTGCCTCAACTGATGTAAAAATAATGGTAATTGTAATAATACTTGGTCCTGGCACAAAACCCCAGTGATTTCAAAATAAACTGAAACAGAAGCTAATAAAAGTTGTCAGTTTGGAGCAGTGATAGCTTTCCTGCACCTGTTCACTGCTGCAAGGCTCCAGTTCTTTTCTCATAGGATAAATGTTTCTGACCATTCTGTGAGAGTTCAAAGAAGCAGCAAAACCCATTTGCTGCTGGCTGAGATTTTAAGCAGGCAGCCAATTCACTAATGCTGACTGCATTATTTGTTTTTCACTGAAAATTCCAGAGTGCAGAAAGCTGACTCGTGGGGAGCAGCACCATGAGAGAGAACAGAATGCACAATCTAATCACCCAGGAAAGGTTCCTTTGCTGCCCTGAACTCCTGGGCACTGCTGTTGCGTTGTGCTGCTCAGGAGTGTGTTCACTGTGGTGATTAAATGAAAGGCTTGTTGTGGCAGGGGGGTTTGCAGCAGCAACCTGCAAATGGGTTTGAGCTCCCTCAGAACGGAACAGTTTTACATCCAACGGGAAACACGGGACTCCTGCTCGGGAAGGAACAGAGATGGCTGTTCTGCTATGCCCTGAACTCGGTGCCCTCAATCCCTGTCTGAGGGAGCTTCCTGCTTGGAATGTTTGGGTTGCAGCCACACCCAACCAGCGCGGGGATCCCAAAGTGACGTGTCTGGGTCTCTCGCTGTCCCGGCACTCCACCCTTTGTAGACAAGGGTGGTGTCAATTCAAAGGTTCTGTCTTGTGCCCATGGGGAGCAACAGAAGAACTGTCAATCATTTCATTAAGTCTGGCTCTGGCACTTAAATCAGCTTTCTGCAGTCTCATTACTAGAAGTGAACAAGGTAGACCATTTCCTTGCCTATTTGATTAATAAACCATATTCAACTTGTTCATGCTATGGATTTAATTAAAAAGTCATATAAACTACTTGATAAGACTGTGATAATCTGTCTAATTCAGCATTAATAACAACATCTGTCCCAGGTTTTACACAGACACTGATTAGTGATTGTGGAGCTACAGCATAAATGAAAGATTGCTAAATTTTCCTTTGAGTAAAAACTCAAGTATGTTAAAAAATTACTAACTGAAAAACCTTTGAAATGATAAAAAGAACAAGCTGCTCACTGAGACCTAAGACTAACAGTGCCACAAGATGTGTGCTTTTCACATCACTGCTTTCTACAGAACTTCCTGATGGCAGAATCCAAATGAAACCATACACTGCCCTTCCTTGGGCTTGTGGTGTCAGCCCTGGCACCCCTGAGATCCTCATGACCATCACTGCTGGCCTGGCCCTCTGGCACTGCAGCACCACTGAGGAATTGGATTTGCTGGAATTCATCTGTGTTCTGGATTAAGGCAACTTGTTAACAGTTCACAGACTGTTGACTTTCCCTCATTTGGATCATGTTTTCAAACCTTTGGAGCACAAACAGAAAACCTGATTATAGACACAAATGACCCTGTTTCTGGTGCAGATACCCAACAACACAGAGCTGTCCAGAAACCCAAAGTGCTCTGGGGACAGGCAGCACCAGAGAGTTCCCTGTGCAGGAGCTCCATCCAAGCCAGGACATCTCCTTTCTGGGCTCACAATAACTGGGGTGACTGCACCACCACACCTCTGTTGCCACTGGCATCGTTGCCCAGCAGTGATTCCATCCCCAACCTGAGCAGGGTACCAATAAGGGGACTGCTGATAGGAGTTCATTCATCTCTTCCCAGAAAGCCTCCCACATGCAGCCTTAGGAACAACTTTACATTGGGAAAAAACTTGAAATAAGGAAGTAGATGCCTGAGCACTTACCAGCAGCATGTCTGTGGCAACAGCCCAGATCACAAACAGAAACAGCTCTCCAAGTGCAATAAAAATCTGCGAAAGAGAAGAAAGCAGTGACTGTCCACAGTGCATGGGCCTTCTTTGGTGTGAGGATGAAGGCAGGCTCACTGACTGTGCCTGTGTCCCACACACCCATGGATTTAGAAATTAAACATTCTGTCTATGTTTACAAACACTAATTTCATCTCAAAGGTGGGGAAAGGAACCAGAGAAGGTGAGTGGGGTTTGTGTCACAAACGCTCAGCAAAAGAGTCAAAATGGGAAACATGCAGCACCCTCCCAATGAACTGCTGAACCCAGGAAGAGGAAACAAGATCCTGGGAGGAGAAACTTTCAGCAGGGGTTTAAAAAGTAATTAAAGATCTCCCTTTGCAAATGAAGCACCTCTGTGCTAATACAGGTACTCTTAAAGGCTGTTTCAGAGAGAGAATTTCCCAAATGGGATGGACTCCAAGGAACAGGCAGCCTGGAAGATCCTGGATGCCCTGTGGGAATTCCCTAATCCATCACAGATGGAGACCCAGGCATCAGGAAAAGGGGTGGGGCCCCCACCAGTTCTTACAGCTGTGGTCTCAGAGAACATGAACCCTTCCAGCCAGCCCTGGACACAGATTGGAGCAGCCTGCCCAGGCTAAGGGAGGCTTTGGGAGAGCATTAAGGCTGCCCTGTCAAGGGTAAACTCTGCTAGAAGGCAGAGTCTGTTCAGGGACACAGGCCACAAAGTCAGATGGCACCTGGAAATAAACCCCACTGTCACAACAGGCAGCAGCATCTTGTTCAGCAGGGCCTTGGTCAAGGTGTTGTACCTGGTCTGGCAAAGGCACAGTGGCAAATGCCCAGATGTTTTTGGAGGGGTGGCTGATGTGCTCCTAAGGAGAACCAGAGCTGATAAACATCTTCCTGCCTCCTCTGTGGTTCTGCTCCTTTCTGCTCATGTGTTTTCTTCTCCAAACCAGTTCAGAGAAGAAGTCTACTGAGATACTTAATATAGACCATTATCCAAGTATCTCTCTCTTCACACTGCTTTGTACAGGTTTCCTAATTTGCAGCTGAATCCATTCCCCCACACAGAGTTGCCTTTCCTTAAGTTATATGACAAATATCACTCCTTGAGTATGTGTTAGTCTGGGATTGATACATCCTGCTGCCCACTGACACAACCTTGGCAGGCTTTGCCCTCACCAGACACAGAGTGCAACTGCTGGGCTGCAGTTCAGGACTGCTGCAGGATCACTGTTCCAGCCTGAGCTGGAAACCAAGTGAAGCACCTGCATCAGAGAACTCTGGGCAAACACAAAATGTGGTCATGAACATGGGAAGCAAAATCACACAGGTCAGCTGTTTACCAGGACACTTGGCAATAAGGACTGGCTGTGAAATCTTGCACTCCTCAGAAAAGATAAGCCCTTCATCCCTTTATTTCAAGGTAATACTCTCTGAACTCTCTTGGAAGATCCAGATTCATCAGGCAATAATGGTGTGAACTTCCCTACCTTCTGTCAGTGGTGCCATAGGCAACAAGAGATAGTGCAGGTTAAAGGGAGACAGGGAGGAGATAAAGAGCAAAGAGATTTATTTAGATCCTGGCTGATACTTTAAATGGAACAAGATGCAAATCCAACAGTTAGAGCAGAAGGTTCTGAAGGCTTCCAAACTGTTCCTAGATATCATCAACGGAATAGATGACTCCCTGCCTTCATCCATCAAATGAGAGATATCTCCCTGCCAGGAATCTTGTGATGTTTAGCACTTTCAAAGTGTAATTTCCAGTTTTCCTTTCTCTTCGTGCTTTTCCCAAGTTATTTAGTCTGTACAAGCCCTAAGAACAAGAGCATGTCGTGCCCAGTGCAAGAAAAGTAGAATTCATCTTTAGGAAATAAGTTATGCTGCCAACCTGGAGATGAAAGGAATGGAAATTAAAGAAAAATTGTCCTTGATAAGAAAATGTGATATTCAGTGGCTAAGGCCTCGTGCTGCATAGAGTAACAATTTCAAACAGAATTGTGTTAATGTTAGAGACACAACTTTGTTAGATTTTCTTTTCTTTCCCAAGGTCTTGTGTGGATTGCAGATGTAGGGTCACCCCCTCACCTCCTGGGGTTCAGCCATGGCTTTCCCAAGCACCTGCACTGCAGTGGGAAGAAGCTTTTTCCCTGGGAAGAAACTTAAAGAACACACTTATCCATACCCCAGTTTGGAATTTCCTCGCAGATAACACCCTGCTTGAAGACACAATGCTGTTTGTGAGGAGAGAAACATTTAAACTTTCACCAGTCCTTAGGGAGCTCCTTCATCAGGAACTGCAGTGCCAGGACAAGGGGAATGGCTGCACACTGACACAGAGGAGGTGAGGATGGGATATTGGGAAGGAATTCTCCCCTGGGAGGGTGGGGCAGGCCCTGGCACAGGTTGCCCAGAGAAGCTGTGGATGCTCCATCCCTGGAAGTGTCCAAGGCCAGGTTGGAGCAACCCTGGGCTGGTGGAAGGTGTCCCTGCCCATGGCAGGGGGTGGAATGGGATGATCTTCAAGGTCCCTCCCAACCCAACCCATTCTGGGATTCTACAATTCTAATAAAAGGTATCTTTTGGTAATTCAACCCCAATCTATTGGTCACTCATCTGACACAGAGTGGCAAATGAAACTGTTGTCCTCCACCTTTAAGGACAAAAAGGGAACTGAAGAGCAAACTCAGAGTGGGGCTCTGTGGGAACCTGAGAAGCAGAAAAAGAAAATGGCCAATTCTTTGGCACTCAGATCTTCACTCCTGAATCCAAAAATAATCCTCAATCTCACATTGTGCTTTGTGTACACACACTCAGACATGCAAATCCACTTGTTTTTCTCTTGGTGTAAAGGTGTTTTTCCACAGGAATACACATTCCTGAGGAGTCAAAAGGAAAACCTCTTTGAACAAGTGCTATTCTTAGAAGCAAAAAAACCTGTAAAAGTACCCTTTTGCAGAGAACTGTTGATTACTGTAATTAACTTTGCTTGGATCCTCTTATTTATGTTAATCATGCTGATTTTGGCTGTGGAGTCACAGGAAAAAACCTTGGAGTCTTTCCCTAGCTGTTACCAGATTATAGTTGCAATAAGGTTTCCACTCAGTTCCCTCTCACAGGGAGTTTTTGGAACTCTTCATGATTCCTGGTAGGTTTCTGTTTTTCCCTTTGCTAAGAACAGAATTTAAGTAATTTATGCTTCAGTTTGCTTTGCCAAAAGCTTGACTTTGAAGATCAGCTGGTGATCTGAGACTTTGAAGATGATGGCTCAATTATTCTTAGCAAGAACTGCGTGTATTGCACAGCCCCAACTACACCAATCTTTAAGGATTCAGAAAGCAAAAATAAATAAGAATACTAAATTAGCTGCGTAGCATTAATAATTAACAGAAGATTGAGACTTGCTTTAACTACATTTTTGGAGAAGGGACAAGCTCCATGCAGCTAATTACACAGGCTTACTGTTCTGCAGTGCACTCTGCAGGCCCTGAGGCCCAGTTTGCAGTGCCCTGCCTGCCCTTTGTCCTGGAACAAGGAATGCCCAGAGTGGATCCCAGCAGACAGGCCCCAGGCAGCACTGGAGCACCATTCCCAGTTCTTCCCTGGCCACTTTCTAAGTCACTGAACCCTCCTAATGGCCTAAAAGACTGCAGAGAATTCTGCAGAAGCCTCCTCCTCATCCTCCCCCTTGCCATTCTCCCCAGGATGCCCAGGGACAGGTGGCTGATGGTCACTTACAAAGGTGGAAAGGATATTGGTCTGGGCCACCACGAGAGCTGTGTAGAGGCACAGGGCAGAGATGAACATGCTGGTGGCACAGATCAGAGGATCAGCTTTATTGTAGATCTTCCTTAACCTTCTGGTGACCCTTGCCCCAGCAGTGATACCCAAGACTCCTGTCCCGATGGTGATGGCTCCAAAGATCAGGCTGCTGACAAAGCAGAGGACTCAGTTGAGCATGGTAGGAAAACAAACGGTGTTAGCTTAGAGCTGGAGTTTCAGAGCAATCTTTAATGGAGAACTTGGATTTCACCCCATTTGATGTAACCCTCCCATTGCTTGTAAGTGGATGTCATGCCAAGCCTCAGTGGAAGATGAGTGTCCTGGGAAGCAGATATTTTCCCATTTACAGAGCAGGTGTTATGCACCCAGGCTCAAAAAGGACCCTGCCCAGCTGGACCTGGCTTGGACATGCAGTGATGTAGGGGAGACCCAGTCATCGTGGTTACCCTGTGAACCAGCCTACTCAGTCATCCCTGAAACACAGATGGAGGGACTCTTGTCACAATCTGCTGTCTTGGAAGGGATCCTAGCACGTGGAACGATCTGCATCTAAATTATAACTCTCTGATTTGCACAGCTGAGATGAGTCACTTCTCTGACTCTGGGAAACACCTACCACTTCCCAGAAGAGTTCAGAGAATCCTGGATAGTTAACTGTGCCAGGTGCAGGGAGCATTTCCTGAGAGCAGAATGGGCAGCACACTCAGCTTTGTGTGTGTGCAAATGCAAATGTGTTCTGAGGAACCACAGCTTTGTGCTTTGAGAGATTGTGTCTGAACAGCTTAAAAGATTCAGCCTCCAAAGGGACCTCCACATGTGCTTTTCTCTCTGTCCCAAATGAGACCTCAATGACAAAGCAACCAAAGTCCAGTGGTGCTGATTGTTTAATGCATGACAGTTCTCCAAAGGCAAACTGGGGCAGGACTGATGTATTCTGAGCCCAAGCGCTCCTGAATATTTCAGTGTTACGTGGTAAGTTCTGTACATTTTCCTCAGCTTTTCTCTAACAGCAAAGCAAAGTAACCAGCTGGGATAGGATCTGTTCCTTTAAACTACAGTGCATCCACTTTTTATTTTCTTTCTGGATGATTAGGAAGGACTGAATTATTCTGCAAGAAAAAAAAAAAGTATTTCTGTGCAAGATAACAAACTTTTAGCATATTTGTAGTCTCCCTGCAAGTTCTTCAGGATTCTGATTCATCACTCACTCCAGCTTGATAGTGACAGTAGAGATTGTCACTAGGCAGAGGAACTATCTTAGAGATTTGTTCAGGAGAGAAAAGTTCCAAGGTGACATTAGCTGATTGAAGCATCCATGGAATTGTGGTTAGAATATTCATGTGTTGTAAACTGCAGCTGAAATAAACCTGGAGCTGGAATAAAAGAGAGCAGCCTAAACTAACTCCAAGCACGGCTCAGCTGACTGGGAGTAGGAAAGTACAGATGCTGAGTCCTGGGGAAAGGCTCCTATGGGATCTTTTAGGGTCTGAGAATGCTCCCTTATCTGTCTGATCTATTCCAAAGTGTCTGCACAAAGACCTGAAAAAACCCTATTTATCTACCTTTGAAAGGACAAGACCTGAGTCAGCTGTGATGCCGTTGGAATTGGTGTTTCCAGGGAGTCTGGGACACAGCCCTGATCCTTAAACAAAGCCTGCAACTGCTGAACAGCCAGGGGGGATCCTCAAAGTATCCCTGACAGGTCCTGGAATGTGCAGCTCAGTTCCTCCAGGCCATCAGCTACAGGTCTGACACAGTTGTTTATTCTGTTTCTTTACATGCCCCTGGAATAACAAGAGTCTAAAACCTGCCTTATGCTACTTCTGGCACGAGCTTCTGCCAAGGTTATTTTTAAAGTATCCTGTAAGAAGCAGGATATGAGATTAAACTATCAGGAGCTCCATTTCCCTTCCCTGAAGACCATGTCTGCTCCAGCAACACTACTGTGGAATAATAATTCAGAAGTGGATTAGAAAGCAAACCACAGGGCAACACCTTCAGCTGCACAAAGGAAGTATTTAAACTGGATCTGGGAACAGGAACAGCCAAACAGCTGAAACTGTTCGCTCTCCTCTGCTGCCCCAGCCACACTCGTGGGTTCACTCCCTTCTCAGTAGTGTTCACTGGGAAGTTATCAGCCCCTGGTGGCATCCATGGAAGGACAATTCATTTCCCATGCAAGGATTTGGGGGTGGATGGACTATTCAATCCATGTGTTGAGTTGGGTCAGTCATTGCACTGCAGACAAGCAGAAGGACTCTGTTAGCAGAGTGATGATTGCTTTTCCCTTTAATTGTCTTCACCTGGAAAGGCAATGTAGGAAGCACTTAGTTCTTTGAAATGCATCATGAAGGCAGAGACTGAAACCACATCTGGGATAACTCCAGGAGAAAGGGACACACTTGTGTGGAGGCCACTGGTAGGGAGTCAGTCCCAGTGCTCACTGTGACTGAGGCAGCCACAGAGACTGGAGAGCAGCACTGACTACATTTTGGTATTCTGGATAACACAGAACACATTTGTATTCTGGTAACACATAAGGGGAAACTTCTCTTCTTCCTAGCTGGGGAAAAGTCATCTACAAAAAGTTGTGATTACTTCAAAGTCTTCTACTCTTGTAAATTCCTCTTCCCACCCACCATTTGATGCTTATTCATGGATCTTCACTGGTCTGGATGTGCTCTGTAAGCAGAGCTCTGCTGGCAGGTCCCCACAAGAGCAAATGATGCTGGTTTGATGCAATGATACGGGACTAGATCAAAATCATCAAGTTTTCTTCATCTGGGAGCCACAATCACCTGGCCAACACAGCAGGGATTTTAAAACCAGACTAACAAGCAGATAATGGGAAAGTCACCAAAACACAGGATTTAAACGTACTTAAATGTGTATTTAAGTAGCTTGGGGTGCACAGTCATTTGTCAACTTAAATCTGCTTGCTAAAGCTGCTCCTTTTTTTTTCCCCTACAAGTGTTCCTGTTACTGCTTCTTCCCAATTTATTTCAACAGGGCTGGCAGCATCTTCCCAGTTAACTGATTATAAACAAACAAATAGGAGTGTCTCAGCATAGCTGGCAGCAATGTAGTCTGACATTCCCACCCCACTGCCTTCACCAGAAGTGTTCAGTCACGTCCTGCCTCCCCCCTTTGGAAACGAGCTGTGATTTAGTGCTGTTCCACAGTCCCAGCTCACCTGCTGGATGAACTGCACGGTTCCTGGAGGCAGGGAGGGACAATGCCCTGGACAAGCTGTGCCCTGTACAGGAACAGCGGTACCCACATTCCCAGGGCTCCAGTGACAAAGGTCATGGCTGCCACACCCAGTGAGGACCAGACAAAACTGCAGCTGCAAGTGAAAGGAAAACAAAGGGGAGAGGTTAAAAGAACACGGTGTGAGGGAGAAGGGAGAGCCTACCTGCAATGCCCAGGATTTCAAGAGATGACAAAACAATTCATTCAGACATCTTATAATCAAACCCCACTCCCCTGAATATCTGAACTCTGATCAGGCTTTATTATGAAAGTCAACAATAAAGTCCTAATTAGAGCAAAGGCCATGACCTACTGATTTTGTGTTAAATCCTGGGTTATTGCATGTTCCATTGCCAGCTTCTGCTAAAACAATTGCTGTGGATTTTTTGATAGCAGAAGTACAACAATAGAGAGTGGGCAAGAATTTAAGGGCTTAGTAGCTAAAGGAAAGTGTTCTATGTGCACGTGTAAGTGCCTCAGGATGGTTTTAAGTTGTTTCTGTAACCAGCATAAACGAGAGTAACATCTGGGTCCTCCAAACTGTGAAGGTACAGTGGCTGAACCCCTCCTTAACTCTGAGTGGGTAAAAATACACTGTCAGTCTGCACAGAGAGTTTTCAGACCAAAGGAGAAGCATTTTAAAAAACTGTCCAAACCTTGTCTCCTTCCTGCCCTATTCTAGGAGAAAATTAAGTTTTTGCTGGTCTCTCTCTAGTTGATAGTTTAGGAAAAAGTCCCCTTTAAGGTCAGTAGGGAGGTATGAAATTTTAACTCCTGCAAATGACCAGGTGACCACCAGATTAGAGGATTTGCTAAGAACTGAACCCAATTCTCCATCTTCTAAAGATGAAGGACTCTTGGACTTGATGAAAAGTGGAACCACCTTTTTTTCGGCAGTATGACTTTATGCTTTGAAAATCAACTGCTAAAGGAAAAGAAAATAAAATCTGTTTTTACAACATTGCTGGAACATCTTTTTGGAAAGAAACTTTGGTGATAGCCTAGTTGTTGATATGTCAGGAAGGTTCATTTTTGATTCAGGAAAATTCACGTTTTATTTGCTTCAGGCTGTGCTGCCTAAAAATTGTGATCCAGCAAACTGGATCTCTGGGGTACTTGCTGTTCTGACTGCAATCGGGATGGAAATTGAATTGTCGGTTAGAGAATGCTGGAACCTCTGGAAGAAGAGTCATAGAATAATAGAATTGACGGGGTTGGAAAAGCCCTCTGAGATGATCAAGTCCAACTGTTGATCCAACCCCGCCGTGGTTCCCAGCCCATGGCACTGATGCCACATCCAGTCTATCCTTAAACACCTCCAGGGATGGTGACTCCACCCCCTCCCTGGGCAGCCCATTCCGAGGTCTGATCCCTCTCTGTAAAGAATTTCTTTCTAATATCCAAATAAACCTCCCCTGGCAGAGCTTATGACACAGCTCTCTCGTTTTACTGATAGTTGCCTGGGGGAAGAGCCCGATCCCACGCGGCTCCACCGTGCTATCAGGGAGTTGTAGGGAGCAACTCCTGAGCCTCCTCTTCTCCAGGCTGAACAAGCCCAGCTCCCTCAGCCTCTCCTGGCAGCACTCGGGGCTGGCGGAGCGGGGCTGGCACAGCTGCACAGCGGCCTCTGCTGTTCCCAGCCCGGCTGCCGCTCCTCCTCCTGCCCCGCTGGCACCGGACTGACCGCACGATAAAAAACCTGCTGCAGTTCGTATTTACTTCGTGCTGCAGCTCAGCTCGTTGTTCTCTTTAATTTTTGTGTGGTTAAAGGAAGAGGTCATCTGCCAGCCACCGCTCAGCTGCTCTGAACGCGTGGGCAGTCGCTTTATAAAGTGTATTGGAGCCCAACACTGTCACCTCGTGTATCAGGGCTCCCAAATACCACACAGAGACTGCCTGAGACGTGCTGATCCCACCTTCCTCGGGTAATAAGAGTTACAGATAAATTTACACCTGCAAATAACGAGCTTGAAGCAAAGCAGCTCACTAAGGGCTAAAGCAAGAGGGAAGGGGAAACTTAGTAGAAAGTAGAGCTGGATTTAAATAGGAGCACACTGCCATAACTTTGCCTCCTTCCCCTTCCTCCAAATGGGAGGATAGAAGAAGCAAAGAAATCTTTGATTTCTTTTGTAGCATTCCTGTGAAAGAGCGGAAGAATGGTTTTTATTAAGGGCGTTTCCACCCCCTTGCAAACAGCCAAAGACACAAAGGAGCAGAGCGGAATTCCAAGGACATATTGCTTGTAATGGGATGGCCACTCTCAGTGCAGGGAACCTTTCTTGCTCAAACCACTTACTTACTTACTTCTTGGCAAGGGATCCAACATCTTGACACCAAGTGGTCTCGGCAGTTCTGTGTACATCTGGTGTCTCATCTGCTCCTTGTGTTGTGCCGGAGATGCTCAGTGCTCTGTACCTTGCTGTCCTTCTCTGGGTCCTGTGAGGGACCAGGAGCAGCAGAAGGAGCAGTGCTAGACCCCCCATGCAAGGAGTTACCTGTAGACACAAGGCTGGTTAGGTGAAGGATGCCTGTTTCCTTATAGATATGGTTTAGATCACATTTGTAAAGAGGAGGAGTGATGTTGGTGATTTGTGGTGACTTTGGAGGAATGATAATATACCCTCCCTCTCCATCCTACAGGTGCTTGGTTGCCTCCTCTGATTTTGAAGAAAAACATGTGAAGAAAGAAAACTGTCCTGTGGTGCTGTGGCCACCAACACAAGGCTCAGTGATGCAGTCACCAGTGTTACCTGAACAACATCCCAGGGGTGCTGCAGTAAACACTCTGCCCCACTCACCTGCTTGTGCCACTTCATTTTGCACACAAGGTAGGAGGATCTGACAAAGTGCTTCCAAAGCACTGGGTGTTCAGGATGGAGAGGCGTCATGATGACGTGACCAGAACAGAAGAGTTATTTTCTTGAAACCTTCAAATAATGGAAGATGCTCCCAATAGTGCTGGAGGAAACTGGTGCTGCCAGTGTAATGGTAATTTTACCTTCAGATTCCTCTGTTTGAGGAGGTCTCAGTGCAGTGACACCCATTCCAAATGTGTCCTCAGCTAAGAGGAACATCAACACCTGCCCTGGCTGCTGTACAGTTTCACCTCCACCTACCAGAACCAGGCAGGAATCTGCCACTTGTGCTGCAAGAAGAGTTCCCTTAAACCCCACATTCACGAGCAGTCAGGCAGCAGGAAGTCCTTGCACTGCTCCCCTCTCTTAGCACAGTGAACGTAAGGAATCCAAACCCTGTGAGGATTCTGGTGCAGTGACTCACCCTGAATGCCCAGTGCCAGTCCCCTGTGCTCCTTGCCATGCCAGCTGCCAGCACGTAACCACAGCCACTGTGAGAACACAAAGGACTAATCAGAAAGCACCAATGGACTCTGGAGGGCTGCAACGACAGGTGGTAAGGGGAGCACAGAGAAGTGTTCTGTCAGAGCTTTCAAAAGGGATAAACAGAAACAACCCTCATGGTCTGTGCAAGTCTACTTGCCAGACTTGAGACAGTGGCAATAATGGCCCAGATTCCCCCTTGGAGTCCATATCCTGTCGAATGACTCCGCAAACCCAGATCAAACAGCCCATAAAGCAGTTTATTATTCAGTCCTCTCTGTGCTAGCCACAGGAATTATGTCCTGCAGGAATTTCTTTAGTTTTAATCTGCCTTCTGGGTCCAGCCTTGGCTCCCTCTAGTACAGAGTACTCTAGTACAGAGTATGTCTCTAAACTACTTACAAGGCTCTTCTCCTCTTCTTGACACAGTGTGAATTTAACTAAAAGAGGAGAGGGAAGTGCCAGTGCTTCAGTGGGAGACATTTAGTGGAGGGTTCTTGAAAGATTTGTCAAATAAACAAACATCTAAAAGCTTTTGTGTTCCAAAACCCTGAAATACATTACATAACCCCCAAGCACACATTTCGTTTAGAATTGATTCAATATTTTATTCAAAGCTAGAGTTAAGATTCTCCCTAAAAATGTTGGGGAAAAAACCCGAATTTTTCTTCCAGATAAGTACAGAAATAAACCTAATCAGCTCCATTCAAACTTGCTAAGGAAGTGACAAATCCCTTTGCAAGAGCCAAGGCAGATATACATCAAAATATATCTAACTGAGGCTCGGGGTATATTGAATTGCAGGCGTGGTCAGACAGAATTTCAAAAGGCCAGGCAATTACTAGGAAGAAAACCAACCTTCCCACTGGAATGAAGATATAGAAGAGAGATAACACTGTGGTCCTTTTTCCTTCCTCAAACAGGTCTGCAATGATGGTGGGTGCTATGGTGGAGTAACTGGCCGTGCCAATGCCAACCAGTCCTCGTGAGAGAACAAACATCCAGTAATACTGCAGGGGAAAGACATGTTACAGTGCAAGAGAGTCCATGGCAGAAGGAAAGCTTACTGTTCGAGAGGAGCCTTTTGGTGGATCAAATGTGCCAGAGGAAATCAGACTTGCCTTTTGCCTATGTCTGTGTTCCCTCCACTCACTCCTGCTCCCCTCACATCTCACTGCTGGGCTTTCTCTTTCTGCCCAGCACTGACTTCCCACAGGGACACCCAGAGGGAATTTCGGGATAGGGTGGATAGAGCACATGCTTGCCCCACAAGCTGCCACACTGTAAGGTCACAGACAGCAAACATTCAGGGTAAAAAGGAGATCCCCTCAATTGCAGCAGTAATGTGTGGGCTCTTCTAGCTAGGCTGGTTTCCAGCATCCCATAAAGCATTCCTGCATGGAGTCCCTTTAGTCCAGGCTTGGGGTGTGAGTGCTCACTGATGCTTTTCCAAATGTGGTTAAAGAAGGACTCTATCAGCTCCTGCAAGATGCAAGCAGATTATTTTCACAGTACCCTCTAAAGCAGCAACATACCGACTGAGTGATGAAGGAACTGCCCAGGGTGACCCCAGACCAGAGGAGGATCCCAGCTCCCAGGAGGATTTTCCTGTTGTAGCGGTCTCCCAGGTACCCAAAGATGGGGGCAGCCAGCATGTAACACACGGTGAACACTGCAAATGCAAGAACCAGCAAACACAATATTGCTCAGGTTGTTTTTGTCATGTGTGCTGCTCATCTCTCAGATAAACTCCCGTTATTTTTAGGGCAGAGGTTAAAGGCAGGTTGAGTTTGTAGAACTCGGAGGGGGATTGATGTTTGAAAAATGATAAATGCAGAATCAGAATATCCATTAAAAAATGTGTGTGAATTACTCAGATTCTGTATTTCTTGAGAAATCCTTCATCTTTTGTGATTCACATGCTGTGGGATTTTTGAAGGACTCTGCTCTGTCCTGCCTTTGAGTTTTGCACCATAGCCAGCCTGCCCACAAGTGGAAGTGAGCAACCCCACACACCAGGAGGAAGTAGAGAACTAAGTAACCAGGCTGTGTTTTGGGAGCAGACCAGAGAGAGGCAAGGCAGAGAGAACTCCCTGACTGAAGGGGTTTCATTACCTGTTTGCAGCAGACCTGTCTTCTCATCGCTGAGCCCAAAGTATTTCTGTATATCCAACAGGATCCCTGCAACAGAGGCAGACACTGACTGTGGCAGCAGAGCACTCTGCTCATTCCCTGCAAGTGCCAACCCAAAACCAGGGCTTGCAAGAACTGCAGCACCTTTAGCTTCTAGTTTAGGTTGTAAACCATTACTCTCTCACAGATGCACAGAGAATGCAAAATTCTTATCACTATAGATAAAATTAATGGTCTTCCACTCTATAGGTCTTATAAGAATCACTGTTTCAACCACAAGTGTTCTGTTTCTTTTGCACCATTAGTACCTAAAAAAGTTGAGTGTTCAAAGTTGGACACACTGTAGAACAAAACAGGGGCAAAGTTTGGTACCTCGTGGGTGTTGAGACAAAAAGGTCGTTTCAGCTCTATGTCTTGCCAAGGCTGTAGATCTCCCATTTCACCTGCCTTGCATTTCTGCTTTATACGGCTGAGAAACAATGAGAAACAGCAGAAGAGTCTGCTTGGAATAAGCACACCTGTACTCCAGTATTGGAAGCTATCATTTAAAAAAGACATTTCTTCTCACACTGCTTTAGTTGTGTCAAAATAGATAAAGTCATAACACTGGTAAGAGGAAGAGGCCATGACCATTTAAGGGAACTAGTTCTGGGTAACCTGCCTGCTGTGGCCACAGCAGCTGATCTGCAGCAGAACAGGGAGCTGGGTGAGGTCAGCAAGAGGCCCCTCTGCTCCCACACTGTGTTTTCCATGTTGTGCCATAAAACTACACTGCTGCAGCTCTTAAAAGCATTGTGGGGGTTATTTTAAAGCTAAATCCGTGTTCCCCCTGTCCCTGTGGCTGCAGCATCAGTGCACTCATTATTTACTGATGTGACTTGAAGTCACTGTGGAACAAGGTCCAGCCTGATGGCAGCTCCAGAGCTTTTATGGCTGTTTCTCAATGGCTCTTGAACATATTTTGCATTTAGGGTTTTTCTAACGGTCTCAAAAGTAAGTCAGTGGTTTCATTCAATGGTTTTGCATCCTTAAAACAGGGCAATCAATTGTATCTTTCCTTTCTGGCAGCCAGTGATCAACACACAGAAAAACTGGATTACAGGAATTCGGGTTTGGACTCACAGAGTATTTAAAACAAATCAGAGATAACACTAGACTGGGCCTGATCCACAGCTCCATCTCAAACTGCCTTTCACACTGAGCACCAGTAAATTGTGATTGGAAAATTGTGATTGGTAAATTGTGGTAAATTGTGGCAGGACTGAAATAACTGACCTGAGCAGTGATTGGCAAATGCCAAAGCATTGATCGGAACAGCTTGGAGCAGGGTCACAGATCAGAGGGGAAAGGGCTGCACGATCACTGCCTTTAATGACTGAAAACTCAATTCCAGCAGACAGTTTAGTGGAAGAGGTTGTTTTCTGTGTGAAGATTGATGTAAATTCTGTCAAAGCCTGTGAGCAAAACTGCCCAGAAACCACAGCTTGGCAACTGCCACCAACTTCATTCTGACCAGATCTTCACACCTCCCTCTTCTCTTCCCCGTCAGCCGGCACGGACAGCCAAGCTCGAAAGTGCTGCTGCAAGAGTTCTGCAGTGACATGGAACTCTAGCAGATGAGCAGCCTCGTGCTGGGGTATAAACTGCAGTTTACAGATGGCCCAGGAGGTCACAGAACTAACTAAAAAGTGGTTTAGTCATCTGGTGTAATTAAAGGAGATGTTCCAAAGGCCTGGCCTCTGCTCTGGAAGGTGCCTCGCTCACAAGAGCGTGCTGGGGAAATGTCAAGCTCCTGGCACACACAAAGAGCAATTCAAAGTCTGGAATGAGCCAAATGGCTGCTTGCACTTAACTCTTCTGAGTGCATCCCCTCCTCACATCCCAGTTCTTGCCTGAAGATGTTTTCACCCACTCCTACTTGCTTCCTTCCCTCTTACTGGTGTGGTTCAGAGGTACTCAAAATAAAAAAAGCTTAAACTCCTAAACCCATTCCCCTCTCCATTTTGAAAGGTACTGACTGAGTGTCTTGAATTTCTGAATGGTCTAAGTGGTAAAATAATTACTTTGGGCACTGTCACTAGGTATTCCTTCCAAATTTAACAATCCACCCTTTGGGTTTTTTCAAGGTTTTAAAACATTTCTGATTTCCAGGCCACTCAGAAGTAATAAATAGCAAGCTGACAACAAATGTTTCCTCCTAATTTCCAAGTCAGATCCCTGGCAGCATGGTAGATCCTTAGGAGTGATGCTAAACAGAAGAATTTACACAGACCACAGTTTACACTGTAAGAAAAAACCCTCAGATTCCCCACCAGTTTACTAGAAGCAACTCTTTGTTGTTCACCACTAAGAAAAACAACAAAAAAAAGTTAAAAAATCACATTTTGGAGGGAGGATATTATTTTTTAGACAGCAAGTTGTACATTTGGTAGGGGATGCTTAGGGAAGTGGGTCTCTGCTCTCCTTACACAATCATGTTACTCCTCATTGCAGGAAGCACACGAGGAAGTTAAGAAAGCCCAAAGTTAACATAACAGAGTTAGCTTTTAGTGGCACAAAGATAACATAGTTTGGGGACTTTTAATGGAGGGAATGGCATCAGTATTCTCCAGATAAAGGAATGCCATGTTGAATCTACCAGATCCAAAGAAGGCCTGGTAAACTGCTCTGCACAGCAAAGGGAAGTTCCTTAGTCAGTCTTCTGTAGAGTCCAGACACAAAAATAGACTTTGCTAAAGTCTGTTTATAAGAGATTTTAAAATATTACGTGATCTTTATAAGTTTTCTAGGAATCTTTACGAACTAATACATCATTCCTAGGTGCTTCCAGGTTTATAACTGGAAGTTTTATTATGAGTATGCACGACAGGCTAAGGCAGATAAGTGAAGAAAAATTAAAAGACATAAAGCATATTGTTACTTTAAAAACATTTGTTAAGTAGAGCTGTTGAGAACTTAAACTTTTTTTTCCTTAGAGGAAGAAAATAGGCTCTCACCTGGCACAAGGAACCAATCCATGGAATTTAATAAATTCCCAAAGCACAGCATGAGCAGTACCCTCTTTGTTGGGCTGCTCCGTGGCACAGACACAGCTGGACACGGTGCCCCATCTGCTGCAGCAGCTCCGTAGTTCTGGCCCTCCAGCAGTGGCTGCAGCTGCAAGCCCGTGTCCTCCTGAGCACAGGGGGGCTGCATGTCCCCCTCACCCTGCAGGGATGATGGAGTGTTCCCCCAGTGCACCAACCCACACACCAGTTTTGTGCTGGGCTTTGAGGAACTTCAATCACTCTACGGTCATTTCCGGCCCTGAGAAGCGACATGAAACGTTCCTGCAGCAGCAGAACTTACCCAGAAAGGAGCTGCAGGGCTGTGCTTTTGCACAAGTGCTGAAGAGCAGAGCCCTGAAGGCAAGGGAAAGGAAATGTAAACAAAAGCCGAGTAACCTGGTGTGCACCTGAGAAATGAAAGTGCACAACTCCGCAGTGATCACAGAAACTGCAAGGCAAAAATAACAATAATCTTTGGTAAGGTTTCAGTGAGTTGACAGAGCTAAAAATAGTCTTTTTAGAGAAGAGAGAGAAAGAAATAAGGGGAAGCTCGTTTGCTAGGCCAGGTACCTGGGTTTGACTTGAGCCCTCCTTTACCACGCACTTGCTGGGCAACTCTGGACGAGTCATTTGCTTTCTCTCCCATCCACAACCCCAGCCTTTCAAACCGAGCTCTGTGGCCTTGGCCCTGCCACCTGAGCAGTCCCTGCTCGCTGTTACCACCCATGTGCTTTGTGCTGGCCACATCTACCCCCAGAACAAAATCCTTCCCAGTAAGTTCCTGACTTTTTGGGTCAAATCAGCAGCAGACTCACAGTCCAGACTAGGTGCTGGTTCTGTTTGGTGTTTTCAGGGGGAATACCAAACAAAACCAACCAACACCACAAAATGCTCCAGTAAGCAGAGAGATGGAAACCAACACTCTTCCTCACCCCTGCTGGAACTGTGCATATTCCACAGTTCTGAATTGTGCAAAGGTTTTTTTTTTTTCCCCTTATTCCCCCCAAAAACAAGTCCAAAAAGTGAAGATCAGAGGGCACAGGAGGGCATTCTTGTCCTTTTGGTGCATGTAGGTACCTTAATTTGCTGCCTTTCTTCTGGCCACTCACATTTATTACAGTGTTCAGTCACAGGTCTTTTGAGCCATTTTGTGGATTACCAACTTCAGAAAGTAATTTATTTTTTGCACCCTGTTAAAAAAGTTTAAAGTGAAAATTACCAGTAAACTCTGAGTTTAAGAGTGAGGCAGCTAATTGGAATGAGCACTGCTTATGGTTCATGACTCAGGCATGAAGACAAGCCTCTGTGGTTGGGGCTTTTTTAAGAACTGTGTGTTTCACACTTCAGACTAAACTGAAAAGCAAAATAGCACTTAGTATTCTTGGCCATTTTGTAAAAACCAGGCCCCTTTGCTTCTGTGAGTTTCACAGTGCAGTATTTCCTTCTGTCTTCAGCTTGTGAAGATCTAGTTCTTCATGAACCAAAAGGCAACTTTAATTTAATCATGGCTAAGTTGATATTAATTTTATTTCAAGAGGAATTTTTTTTTTTTTAAACACCTTAGCTCTCAACTTTTTAGACACAGATCATGGGCATCTCTCCTCACTCCTGCTCAAGAGAGCTCCATGTCAGTCAGCTTGTGTCTGGAAACATTTCAGAATGTTCAGCTGGCCTCCAGGAACCAATCTGTGCTCTACTCAACACTATCACTGCTACCTTTTTCTCTGCTAGAGACCCTTCTCTGAGTACATGGCACGTTATCCATGAATCCCACTGCTGCTTTAAACCAGTGAAGTCAAGAGTTGACTGTGCCTGGGAGCAATAAAGAGTCCCCGAATATGCTGAGTTGGAAGGGACCCCTCAGGGTCATTGAGTCCAGCCCTGCACAGACACCCCAACAATCCCTGAGAGTGTTGTCCAAGCACTTACTGAACTGTCAGCTTTGGGGCTGTGCCCACTGCCCTGGGGAGCCTGTTCAGTGCCACCCACTCTCTGGGTAAAACACTTTTTCCTGCTATCCAACCCAACCCGCCCTGACTGAGCTCTCCCCTTCCCCTCGAGTCCTGGCAGTGCTCCCAGAGTGAGGGATCGCTGCCTGCCCCTCCGCTGACCCTCGCGAGGATGCTGGAGGATCACGACCCTTCACGAGGACGCTGCAGCAGCACAGCTTCGTAGAGATTAAAACCTTTATCTCTACCCGCAGCAGTGGAGAAAAGACAATCACACACACACATATTAAATAAATCTCGTTCCTCCGATGGCCCTGCCGAGCTCCCGCGGGCCGTGGCGGTGCCGAGGTGCTGCCCGGCTGTGCCGCTCGATGGCGCTCCAAGCCCGGGCTCTCCCGCCTCTCCATCCTTCAGCAGGAATATTTCCCATGTTTGATGCCGCCTCACAGGGCGGTTCGTCAGGGTTTAAACTCTCACTTTGCATATATTAAATGCCTTTTGATCCCAACGGCCTCGGAGTTTCCCAGGCACATTCTTATATCGCTTTCAACTCCTGACGTTTACTGCTAGACATGATGTTTACAGCCAGCCAAAAGCAGCTTTCTAACTGTAACTGCTGAGGAAAGAACTCAGTTCTGCTTTTCTGAAACACAGTTTCCAAATTCTAAATTTTCCAAAGGCACAGTCAGATTAAACAGAAAATGTTCCTCACAGACACCAAATTACCAGTTCTAAACTCCTCTTAAACTTTTCTCATTCCCTTTTTGCCCTTCATGAAAGTTTCAGTCACTTCCACTACATGATTTTTATTGCTGTACTACCTGGCCACTGGTACTAGCCCTCCCCTCCCTCTGATGTCCCTTTCTGGGGACATCCATCCCCTCTGGCTGTCACTGTTGGACACAAGCCTGCAGTGTTCTCTGAAAGGCCCCTGGGACTTTGCCTCCCTCTGTCAGCTCCCAAAGCCATCACTCCTTGGTAACCTTCTGCCTTTAACTGCCTGCTTGTCCTGGTCTCCAACCACAGCTTTCCTGTTCATCCAGACAAAACTGCACCAAATATTCCTGCAAAACTTTGTGACAATCCACTCCAGCTGTGTGGAATACAGAATACCACTACACCAAACCATTTCTCTACATGTAATGAAAAGGAGCTTATTAAGCCACAGAATAGCAAACAGCAACAGTCTGTGAAAGAATTGAACATGGAAATAATATTCCTTGTTGACTAGATCTAACAATCCTGATTTTAGGAAGAAAGAAATAAGTTGCTTTTGGTATCTTTCTATGTGTGATTCAGACAGAGAACATAAAGTAACCTAAAAATATATATATATACTTGTGTGTATTTGCAAGCTTGTATTTAATGGCTGCAGTATGGTTGCAACCAGCAGTATTTACTGGAGACCATATAAGAATGGTCAGTATTTCATGGTGTAGGTAATTTTAACCCCTTGTGATGGAAGCAGATTCATAAATCATGAGATTTTGCCATCAACTGAGATATGGATTGCTACAAAACGGAGACATTTTAGTGTCTGAAAAGATCAGAAGAGTGAAATTTAACATCATCCTGGTAGACAGATAGCTCAATAAATGCATGTCTAGACCTACCTGAAATATTCCACTCCGAGGAGATCTGAAGACAATGATAATGAGTGCAGAGGAGCTGCAGAGGGATGAGATTTATGGCAGAGCCTGAGGGGGTTTTAAGGTTCGCCAGTGTTGGCCCCAAGGCCGTGTTTGACCCCAGCCTGCAGTGCTAAAACACTGTTGGACTGAGCCATGAACACCTGGCTGCAGGTGTGCAAGGCAGCACTTTGACCTGCAGCTCGAACCAAGCTGTGACCAAACTGAGTGAGGGCAGTGAGGTGTGAGTTCAGCGGGAATTTCGGTTACAGATGATTACAGAGCCAACGCCTCCCCCCGCGCTCATAAAAGGCGGCCTCACAGAAGTCCAGGGATGACTCATCTCCCAACGTGTGCGTTTTCCTGGCCTTTCAGCTCCAGCCTGATGCACTTTTGCCAGGCTGTTACTGCCTGGGAATGCACAGCCCGTCCTGGCTGGGACAGGGGGAGCTGGGAGGGAAGTTTGAGAAATTGTGCACCTGTACTTGGCTGGATCTGCTCTCTCTCTGTAGTATTTGTGGCCACGTTAATCACAATTAACGTTCAGGATGCAACTGCTAATGACTCCAAACACTGATAGGAAATGTTTAGGATTTTAGGATAAAATTCAGTAGCTGAATAATCAACAGCAGATTGCCACAGTTTTTTTCCACCTTTGCAGGCAGAACTAGGTGTATGAGCCATTATTCAATTTGTGCCTTGCCTTTGCCTACATCTTGTGGAACAAATATGTAGCAAGGGACTCAATCACCCAGACTAACAATCTTTAGGAGTTCACTGCACTTCATGAGCAATCTTCTGTTACCAAAAAGCTTCAAGAAAACCAGCTGGAGCACCTGATTCACTCTACACTTAATTGGAAAATATCTGCCTGGAAGATTCTCATTCTGTGAGTTTCAATAAATGCTACATTTTTAGCCACCACATCCTTTTTGCCTCCTTAGCCTGAATTTCCATCTAAAACGCTTTGTTTCACGTTGCCTGGATAATAGCACAAAACACAGTGTGGATCCAGTGGAAATGTACTTTAGTCTTGTGATAGCAAATCAGATTTACACACAATAAACTATAAAATCCATTTTTTCGTTATTACTGACAAATAAGCTATATATAACTTCCTGCTTGCTGGAATGCAGATCATGCTTTTAGTTGAGCTGAGAAGCAGGTTCAGGCTCTTCCCCTGCATCTTTTAAATTAAGAAACAAACTGCAACTTTATAAAAAAAAAATTTCTTGAGGTTCTTACCTAAATAACTCATCTCACAGGTAACATTCTCCTCGGTTGTATCCATGTAATTCTGTCCCAAAAGGTACAGCAGAAGAAATTACAGTTCCAGCTCATAATCACAGAGCAGCAGCAGATGAACAAGCTCCAGTTCTATTAACTGCTCCCTCCTTCTTCTCTGGGAAAGCAAAAAGAAAAGAAAAAAAATCTCCTTTGCAAATGAGAACATTTTGCTCTAACATCAAGGAGGAAGCTGCACAGCACTGAACAGAGCTGCTTCTGTAGCTGAGGTTTGCTCCAGCACAGAACAGCTCCTGGAGGGCAGGAGAACAGAGGTATTTGAGTTCCCAGGCACCAAGGATATGATTTCACTCCCCAGTTTATCTGCTTGGGCCTTTACCAGTGTTTTTAGCTCCAGCTTGTTTTTGTTGGTGTCGCTGATAAGTGAATTGCTCACATTTTAGGACTCTGGTTACATCTGACACAATTACAGCAGAGAAGGGCTGTGACATCTGCTTGGATTTGGGAAGGAACTGTGGGATTAAGTGTCTCTTTAACCTATGTTTTGACCTTTCTGCCACAGTGAGACCTTCATCCCCAGAAGAACCATTAGTTGACCACTGCAATCTTCACTTTGATACACCAGAGTGCTCTTAATTAAGATAACAGCATGACAGATAAGGAGTCACCCGTTATGAGTAATGACAGACAAGTATTGACAGAACAGAAAGAGAGGCCTTTCCCTATCAGGCTCTTTCTTCCCAGCCCTGCTACCTCCAGACTGAAAGGGAAGACTATTCTGCAAGTGAACACAGTATGTTAATCACTGCAGAGAATGTTAAGGTTGGGGTTAACTAAAAATTTGAATAAACACCGATTTAAATTAAAAATAGTCTAATTAAGTATTGAGAATTAATTTACTTCCCAGAAGAGAGTCCTGCACAAGGAGATTTACTGTCACCCACAGTGCTTCCAGTAAGGCAAAGTGAGACAAATTCACCCTTTGGGAAGGGTGAGTACATGAGCTCACTGGAGCCAGGCTCAGTTGACAGCACTGGGAAACAAATTCTGCCAGCAACAAAAGAAAAACTTGGTCATTTTGAAGCACTAACCCCAGCATGCTGATGTTTATGACAGTTATGATGTAAATATTTGGAAGTTCTTAAAGTTATGGTGCAATTCAGACAGGGACTTGGGATTAAAATGTACCTATACTATCACTGATGGGTACCTGAGGGCAGCTCTCACCCCAGCAACACAACAAATGCAGGAAGCGGCCAGATCCACTCTTGTCCTGGGCATCTTCTGTCTGATTTTCACCCTCTAGACATAAAGAAATCTGTACAAATCCTGGCCAGTCAAATGTCTGCTTTTAATGAAACACACCCCAAAAAATCCACAAAGATGGAGCAAAAAAAAAAATGTGAAGTGTGGGAAGGATGATCTGTAGTTACATTGGAAATCTGGGGACAAGGAGTTGGGGAGGATTCCTTGCTCTGCACTTCCTGTGCTGAAGCAAAGGCACCTCAAGCCTATCATTCCAAAGCAAATGACACCTGTAAAGGGAGAAAGAAAGCAATAAATATTAACACTAATACAGCTCTGATTCTTGTTAATTGATGCCCAAGATGTTTTCAGGCTTCAGCACTCGGTTCTTAAAGCTCTGCTTTGCAAAATTTGCAATGATAGTAATAAAATTACTGTATGAATCCTCTATTAATTATTTAGCAATACGAAAGTAAAGAGGTAGAATTTTCACTCCCCCTCCATTTGTTCTGTTCACAATCTCCTTCCGTCCACTCCTCACGTTACCAGAAATTTTGCCTGGTCTCCAAATCAAGTTCCATATAAAATTGAAAGGTATAAAATTGAACAGCCTCTGGCCTTTCCTCCTTTCCTGCCTGGAATCACGTTGGCATTTGCACTTTAAACACTTTTGGTACAGCATAATAATACAGAATCTCAGAGTGATAATAAAAGAATTTTATTCTCATGAGCTCAAGAAGCTACTTTTGCTTAAGACAAGTTCAACACCCGTGGAAGAACTATAATCTCTCTGTTCCAATGAGCCAGCAACCAGCAAAGTCTCTTTTCCATTTACTTCAAAGTAGCTTTTTGGATGCTCTTCACAATAGTCGATACTTAGTTTTTAATCACGTTCCCCTGTTATGTAACACTGTTGTCTTAAGCTAAAAATAACACACAGTAGAAAGTAATACTGATATAATGCTATGACTCTTACCAATAGGAGCATTAATATCAACTTCAGCTGGTGCATTTGCTTGGAAAAAAAGTGTTATGAGAATTTATTATTGTGAATCCCAAAGTTAAATGGAAGAGCCTTTGTTTCAAAGTCCAGAACAGCCCCAGGAGTTTAACTGGCTTCTCAAAGTCATGGAAAACTGCAGTCATTCCATTTTCCAAACTACCAAAAAATAAAAAAATATTTTCTTTACCTCACAACAAGGCTTATGTCAACAGAGCATCTTCTGAGTCAGTTCATTAAAGAGCTTCCTTCAGAAATAATTTCAAACTACAGAATAAGGCCGGTGTAAATCAGCAAAGTGATTAATCTGTTCAAAAAGCCAAATATAACTGAAGCCACCTGTGTTTTCACTGCCTCCCTTCTCCCTCCCCCCTTTTCTCCTCCTCCAAGGAGTTCACAGTCCTGACAGAAAAGCAAACCAGGCCTGCCCAGCCCCCCAGTGAGCTCAGACAAACCAAATTCAGTGCCACAGTACCCGTGTATAATGTCAGAATTCTGGTTGCACAGTTTTCCAGTAGAGGCAAATTTTGTGTTATGACTCTCCATGGCTGGATTTACAATACCTCAACCTTCCCTTGTGGGACTGTTCCTCATCCCACACCTACAGCTGCATCCACACTGAGGGGTCTGGCACCTGAACTGTTGCTTGTGCTCATGCCCAGCCCTTGGGCAGGGTGTGTTATATCCCCCTGCTCCGTTCCTCTCGGAATTTCGATCCAAACCCTCCCTGTCTGCTGACAGATTTCCTTCCCTTTTGTGCACTGCACTAATTTTGGGCTAGCAAAGGCACCAGAATGTGTCAGGTACAAATATGAGCATATCTCCAAGAACTGCAAGTTTACTGTTCCGGGAAAAAAATTCACTTTGTTGCCAAGCACTTTCTATACCTCGTGATTAACAATTTCCAGCCACGGTGGGAGGTAAAAAGGCTTCAACTGGGATACATTTTGCAAAATGAGTTTTTTAGGATACATTTTGCAAAATGTGGGCAAAAGGGAAGAACTTACCAGTTCAAAAGACAAACCAATTTTTAAAAGCCTGATTCTTTGTTTTAACCCGAGTATCTGTGTTCTTTTAAAAGCAGCCCCATCTAAAATAAAATGTGAAATAAGGGCAGCCCACACGCCATGCAATGCAGCACCAGCGGGTACAGAATATCCCGGGAGCTGGGGGCTCGCTGCAGAAATTTCAGAGAAAGTCAAAACACTGAACTGGTGGGTGTCACTGAGTAAGTGGCTGGAAATAGCACAGGAGTGCTGAACCAGCTCCTTCCAGCAGAGCTTCACCTGCAGGTGCAGAAAGAAAGTGATTTCTTCATTTGGGTTTATTCAACAAGTTCATTCTGATGACTGGTTCATGAAGAGATGGGAACTAAACAGGGGTTTGGAAAAGGAAGCAGCTTGGTTTTCCCTTTTCCCAGCTCTGCAGGAAATCAAGCTGCAGGATGCTGAGCTCTGACTTGTGGGAGGATGAGCTCTGGTGGTATGAATATCTTGGAAGCTGGGGGAGCTAAAACCAAATTTTCATCTCTCATTAATGATTCCTCTGTGCATTTTAACTGAATCCCATCACATGTAACTTAACAGAAAGAATCAGTGAAAAGCTCACAGCGTCTCCTAAAGAAAAGGTTTCAAATAATACTTGAACAAAATCAGAAGTTTGAGTAGAAATATGTTCACATCTCTTAAATCAGTGGCCTCGCCAGTGCTGCTACAAAAAGTAGCATCCTGTCAAGCATAAGGAATCTGCTAACATTTAAGAAAATAATTAAGAATTATAAATGTAAAAGAAATCAAGTAAATCATGATCTGCTGCTTGCCATTTTAAACAATCGGTGAATTATTTAAATCTCTTGTTTAAGCCAACAATAGAAAAAGGAAGAAGTGAAAACAGTATTTTAACTTCTGGCAGCTAATTTACATACAAATAACCATTCTTGAGTACATGTCCTTGTTTCCTTCAAGAAAGAATTCTGATGTTTATTGTCTTCCAGTAACATGCCAGCATTTCAGAAAAGGTAAATCAGTTCTGACCTGCCTCCTGTTTCACATGCCTGAGTTTGTGTCGAGGATTGAGCACTGACACAGCAGTGGATCTCACGACTGCTTTCCATCAGGTGTATTAAACTGATTGTCAATCAGGTCTGGCTTTGCAGGTTGCAACGTAAAGATCTCTCACACTCGGTTCTTTGGAAATAGGAGTTCAAAAACTGCAATTTTCATCTTGGTTTAACCCCCCTCCCCATCACTGTTTTGGCACTCAACACAGTCTCTCGTCATTCATTTCTGCCACTTTTGTTTGCAGTTTTATTTTGATGTCGTTTCTCACTAATAATGAGGGAAGAAGTCCAATTCTGAAGAAATGATGTCCATGTTGTGTGAAGTGACCCCCTCTCAGGGGTCATTTCACCCTCTGCTGCCATTAATGAGCAGGCCTGTCTCCATTTCCCAGCTGGGAACACTATCAGTTTAAGTAATAGTTTAAGCTTATCCAAATAAAGTTTGGAACAAGGTCAGTCTGGTTTACCCAGCTCTTAAACAGCACCTTCCTGCCAAAAGCCTGAGTCAACACCGCCATAAGAATCCATAAGGATTTCCTGCAGTTCCTGAGACTGTTTTAACACAGCCATTCCTGTCAAGGCTGATTCACACCACAAATCTTACCCAAAAGTCAGGCCAAAACACTTTGTTCAGGTGTCAGCCTTCAGTGAACAACTCAATGTACACCTACATCCCCTCTCCCTGGTTCAAGGAATCACTGTCCACCTTTCACACCACAACCAAAACCTTTATCTGTGGTCAGTGACCCAGTGGGAATACTGCTGGATTTATTGAGGGGTGACAGACAGACACATGGGGAGGTTTGAACATTACAGTCATTACGGTTTCAGGTATCAGGGAATGGCAGTCAGGACCAGCTCCTATTTCTGGCTCCAGGGCTTGCTGTGGTATCCTGGGCAAGGCAGTTTAGCACCATGGACTGCCATGCACGTCCATCCTGTTTGGACTGGTAGGGAAGATGGAGAGCCTTCCCTGCACAGCAGATCCTGGAGGATTAGAGTAAAGCCAGCAGGGCTCTGATCCCAGCTGCAGAAGCTGAGCCTTGCCACAGTACGAGTCAATACCAAGGTTTTCCTCGTGCCCTGCACGGAGGCAGGTTCTGAAGAGATGTGTTGTAGCAGCTGCAGCAGTTCCTGCCCCAGGCTTCTCTCTGCTTGCCATGCTACTGATTCACTGGTCCAGATTTTTCCAGGAAATCCCGCTCCTTTCCACACACCCACTTCCCAGTGAAACATGAGCCCAACGTTTGAGTAACAGTTAAACTTTTGAACCTGTTATGTAGGAGTAGCCTTGAACTTAACACAAATACTTGAGGCCAGACTGATGTGTTCAGCCCAGGTTTAGTCCCTGCTTTATTTATAGGTCACACTGGATTGGGAACAGAACAGCTTTTAGTCCTTGTTATGCTCTTATTGAGGCCAGCAGGGAGCTGTGAATCGAACCCAGAATACAGTGAATTGCTGCCTCCTTTTCCTCCCAAATTCTCTCCTCACAAGGAACTCGCAGAGCATTGCTCTTTATGATACATATCCATGGTATTGGCCATGTTACCTCTGCATGCAATACACGAAGAGCTAATTTAGATTTTACTCCTCACAAGCCAACTCAGTCCAGGCTTGTTCAAAAGAGAGACTCCTTAGAAAAAACTACTTATATATCAGTGAATGCCCAGCAAAACCAAGTGCAAGGGTGGAGGCTGGAACACAGAACTGCCCAGCAAACTGATCCTATGTCCTGGTGACAATTTCAATCCTGAATATAAGCCCTTAAAAACACTCAGCCTTTACTGTTAAGAAAACAACTTGTTTGCTAAATATAAACTGTGAGAAACCCAACCCTGCAAATGCAATAATGGACACAGAAATGGTCCCTGTTTGCCTGACAGGGACTGGTTTTAAGCCTAAAAACTGATACCTCAGCGTGCTGCCATTTAGAATGTCTCTTCAGTGACTGCAGCATGTAAAATGAGAGGAACATCGCAGAACATGAGCAGGGAGCTGTGTCTATCTTACCATCAGCTTTCTGAGTTTGCCAAGAAGCTGAAGCTGGGGAGCAGATGATGTTAACAGTGTGAATCCAGCTGGAAGGCTCCACTTAACAGAAACTATGTACCAGTGTAATCTGTGATTTGTGTCGTGAGGGAGGAACTGGGGGAGAAAGTCAAACGAAAGACATCACAGTGAGGCAAAGCAGGATGCTGAATTTGAAACCTTGATCCTTTTTAAGGTGACAGAAAAAGTTCCAGGATTTCCTATTCTAACCATGACATGAATGATTATGATAATATAGCCTTGCCAAAGGAAAAGATTAATGCAGTAAGGACCACAGCAAATGGCTGCGAGAGCTGAACAGTCATTAGACAAGAAATAGTCTCAGAAGAAAAGAAAGAAATCTAAATTCTTATTGCCCTTCCATTCAGTGCAGAGATGGGAGAGATGCTTGCACAGAGGCTGCATGCCAGAGACACAAATAAAGCAAATTCAGGAAAACAATCTCTCTTATCTTGAGATCTTTTCCTCAAATGTGCTGCATGTTGCCTCAGCAAACAGGAGGAAGGTGTTTGCGCATGGACAGCACAGCAAGCAGCTATGAACAGAACAGAGGATCACTCCATCCAGCAGGGACAAGGCTTCTCCCCCAATCAGACAGCCCGGTGTGTTTGAGGACAGGCAACATGACCTGCGAGCCAGCAGAGCTCCCTCTCTGCTGTGGCAGGACAGCTCCATTTTCATGATGGGATTCCACGGAGTCTTTAGGGGGGCAAGGAAACACTAAACTCATGTGTGCCCCGGTCACACACCTGCCCTCCCCACTGGGCAGTTTGCAGCTGCACACAAGGTGATTTCACAGAGCAAGGTTACAGCACTTCAAGCTGCCAATGCTTCCTATACTGAAACAAACTGCCTTTATAAACTAGGGTTGAATCTGCTGCCAGAATAAAGGAATCCAGGTCAGTTGTGCCAGCTTATACCAAGTCCTTTCTTTCCCAGCCCACGGCCCTTCTGTGTTCCTTACAAGGAAATTCATACACAAGGTGCAGGAGACCACAGAAAACTCCCTTTCTGATGATTGCCACCGAGTGACCTGATGGTGAAGAATTCAGGATGATTTTGATTAACAGAATGTAATAGAAATAGAGCTGTTTCATATAACCTTTCAGTCTTCAATGCTGTAGTTAGGTCCTCTATTAATAGAACTGTCAGAAAGTGTACTCATGCCTGAACTGACATCAGGTACAGAAAGTTGAGCGAGTGAATTTAGTGCTGGCTTAACTGACACAGTGAAGAAAGCCTACCTTTTATTCCTGAAAGAGAAATACCATCCACAATAGTGTCACTTCCCATCAGCACGCCTGAATTCCAATCTGGGTGAGTGTCTCTTAGCATAATAAGTTTACAAAATGCACTGGCACATGAGAGCCTTCTGTGTTTAAATGGATAGACGGTTTTTAAGACTGAATGAACCTGACTGGAGCAATACAAAATACAAATACAAAATGTATTCAGGAGTTGGAGTCAACCTCCAAAGGAGAAAGGCTTTCACAAAGACTTTCTTTGGCCAAGAACACCCTTGTGAGATGAATTGTGGCAATGGTATCACACACTGTGGAATGTCTTCTGTCATCCTAGTTTAATCATTGAAAAGGACACAGATTTAATCAGAACTGCAAGAATATCTGGGAATAGTATTCTGATTAATTGTACTAGCACAGTAATGGAACTCTCAGACTGTACTGGGCCTTCCAAACTGCAGCATGGGAAACGACTTCAGCAGTGCCAGCCAAAAGCATCTCTCTCATAGGCTCATTTTCTTTCCTTCATTGCAAGTTGAGTTTGGTGTTCACAAACAAAATAAGCCCCGTGTAGTAGAAAAAAATAAAGAGGGCTGCTTTTGTGTAAAGGGTTTGAACATTTTGTCACACTGATATGGGACAAATCCCTTTGTAATAATTTCTTTCTGCAGTAGAGCCGGGAGTTCCCTGCTCTCTGTCACTGGTGATAATGGTTCATCCAATTAGCCAGAAACTGCATTTACTTGAGAACTGAAATGTAAAATTAGGAGAATCCAATAGGATGCTGAAAGACTATGAGAGAGATGCAAAGCAGCCCATATCTTTCATTTTAGAATCTCACACACCTATTTATCACAGGATATTTTTCAGAGTCAACACATGCTCATAAAAGTACTTTTGTCAGGCCTCCCCTGGCTATTTACTTCGTTCTTTGGGATAAACTATCTTAATTTCTAGCTCTTTCCCTGAGCAGTGCCTGTCCTCAGACTTGTAGTCATCTTCCAAAAAGCCCCTTTTCTGAAGGTGTTTGCTGGAGGTCCAAACCCAAGCCTAGGTTGTCCTCCAGGGATACACTAATGCAGGAGAGCCCCTTCACCCTTCACAAGTATAAGGGTTGATTTAGGCCTTTTATCCCCCTTTTGTTCTCTCCTGGGCACGTCCTCCTGCTCAAAACCTCCTGTATTTTAGTGGGTTGGGAGATGGCAGCAGTCTGATGGCTCTGAGGAAAGACAGTGGCCAGGGAGTTGTTCTTACTTACTGTCCTGAGGGCAGACTTGTCCAGCCAGCTGTCCCTCTGGAGAATCCCTCTGCCCTCAGAGATGCCGGCAGAGACAGCCAAGACAGCAGTTGCCAGCACTGTGCCCCTCATATGTTATGGGTTGAAGGGACCTTAAAGATCATCTCATTCCATCCCCCTGCCATGGACAGGGACACCTTCCACTAGCCCAGTTTGTTCCAAGCCCCGTCCAACCTGGCCTTGGACACTTCAAGGGATGGGGCAGCCACAGCTTCTCTGGGCAACCTGTGCCAGGGCCTCGCCTCACTCACAGGGGAGAATTTCGTCCTAAAACTGTCTCTCATGAGGACATGCACAGAATCACAGAATTGTTAGGGTGAAACTACTCGTGATTTACTGTACGGCCACAGACGTCCTTGGCCAGGACATTCCCCTCACGAAGCGCTCGCCCGCGGACCGGGCTTCAACAGCGCGGGGCTGAGGGGAGGGGGAAGGCGGGGACCTTCCCAACATGGCGGCCGGACGCGGCTGCCGCCCGCCCGCCCGCCCCTCTCAAGATGGCGGCGCGGAAGGGCCGGGCGCGCCTGCGCGGCGCCGAGTGCGGTGAAATTCCTGGCGGGGGGAGCAGGAGGTGGCGGCGCTGAGGGCTCGGAGGAGGAGGGCGGCTCGGAGCCACGGCCGCGCTGCCCTGCCCGGGACCCTGCGTGCTGTGGCGGCCGGCGCCGAGCCAGACCCCCGGCGGGCGCGGAGCGGGCGGGCTGAGCGACGCTCGCCGCCGCCGCCGCCTTCTCTCGCAGCGCCAGGAGCCGCGCCGTCCCCGCCGCCGCTGGGACTCCCTCCCCGGGCAGAGCGGGGGAGAATGACGGAGCTCCAGTCTGCCTTGCTACTGCGGAGACAACTAGCAGGTAGCCGGGCCGGCGGCGGAGGGAGGGCGGCGGACCATCCGCCGCGGGGGAGCGGCGGCCGGGCCGCCTCGGAGGGGCCGCGGCCCGCGGCGGGGGAAGGAAGGGGCGCCGGCTTGGGGAGGGGGCGGGCGGCAGTGTGTATGTATGTGTGTGTGTGTGTGTATGTGAGAGAGGGGGAAGGGGAGATTACGGCCCCCCCTCGCCGCGCCGAGCCCAGCCGGGAGCCGAGGGAACTAGGCCGAGCGGGGGAGGGGGAGCCGGGCCGGCGATCGCTGCCAGGGGAGCCGGGGGAGGGGAGCGGGGCCGGCACGGCGGGGCAGCGTCCCCTCGGCCGCCCCCGTCCCCCCGGGGCAGCGCGGGGTGGCATCGGGGTCCCCCCTGTCCTGAGCCTGGCAGGGGCTCCCCGAACGCTCCCCGTGCCCTCCCCTTGCGGTCCCGTCCGCCCGGGGCGGGGGGGAGAAGGGACGCGGAGCTCGTCCCGCAGCGCGGGGGGACGTTTGCGGGTGTTTGTGGGGCCCCGCGGAGAGGCGGAGGAAGGAGGACCCCCCTCCTCCCCGCGCCGGTACTCCGGGTGACCGCCCCGCTCTCGCACCCCTTCCTGCGGGGACCTGCGGTGCCCCCGTCCCGCCTCCCCCCCGCCGCTCCCCCTCGCCTCCCGAGCCGGGAGGGGGAGGCCGCTGCCCCGCTTTGTTGTCGGGAGGAGCGGCGGGGGCAGAGCACCGGGGCAGCGGCGGGATGGCTCGGGGGGGAGGAGGCGGCGGGACCGCCGCGGGGGGACCCGCGGGGAGGGGCGGGGGGTCCGCCGGGGGCCAGAGGGCGGGCCGGGCGCGGGGGAGGAGGAGTTGGGGAGCGGGCCGGGGGCCGGGCAGGGCCGGGGCGGCGGCGGCCGCGCAGGGGAGCGGGGTGTCCGCGGGGTGTCCGCCGGGCTCGGTGTCGCCGCGCCCCCTCCCTTTGTCCCCGGGCGGGCGGGCGGGCGGCCGAGCTGGCCCGGCCCGGCCCCGCCGAGGGGACCCGCATGCGCGGGGCCGCACAATGCGGCTCCATGTGTGCGCTGCCACACTTAAAGGGGAACGCGCCGCCAGCGCTCCCTCCCTGCCTCCAGCCCTCCCCCACTCGCACATGTCCCCGCATCCCCCGCCCGCTGCGCCCCCGCCGCACCGCCATCCCCGCCGGGCGAGCACACGGGTCCGCCCGGCACCTTGGGAAGAATCGGATCGCCTTTTTCGTCCCTTACGTAAAAAATTGCTTCATAGCCAGATAAGGAAATGTGTGCTAGGTGTACCTAAACTCGGGCAGCTCCAGGGCTGGCTGGAGTTGGCGGAGTGGCCGTACAAAGGCACGGGGTCACTGGGTGGCACAGGAATTCCCGGGGGAGGATTTTGGCCTGAGACTCCAGTAATGTCGCTGAAAGCCTAAGGGTGGAAAGCAGCATTGTTAGCAGTAAGGAGGTGAGGTTGCATAACCGGGCACAGCGAGCTGGATGATGTGTTTGTGCGTCTCCAGCACTGTCTTCTGGTTTTAGCTGTCGATCAGTTTGAGAAACTTCAATGTAGTTAACGACCAGCACGGGATGTTTTACTCCTTTAAGGTGGCACTCTCGGAAAAAAACCCACAAACAACAAAACCCTCTTATAGTGTGGCTAAAAATCTCATCCTGTGGCCGCACTCCTGAACATCTGCACGCACCTGTTAATGCCTTAGCAACTGCTGGAGTTGTTGGTGACACTCGGTGAGGTGTCTGCACGCTCAGATAAGCTGGGAGTTCTAGGTATACACTTACTGCAGGAGCTCATGGCTGCATGTGACATGAAGATTCTCTTTGCCATGAATGATCTGTGTGGAATAGTTGCTTTCTACCTTGATAAAATCGAGCATTTGGTAACCTAGAGTAGTTGTTCAGCTGTCTGGAATTTCTCTTTTAACCGACTAGTTGTGCCTCATGAAAAGAAGTTTGACGTTTAGCTGGAGTCTCTCAATAGTAAGTATTCAGCTTCTATTGTGACTTTTGTGACCTTGTGTGAGCACAGGGGGGTTGGATGTGTAAGTAGACTTGTAGACCATTAGATCTGGGGGTTGTGTTTAATTTTCTGCTCACTCTTTTCTTGAAGGCTTTGTGTGTTCTGGTAAAAACTGGTGAGCTTCTCCAGCTGCCCCTGTTACTGATTTGACTGTACTGACTCAAGCACTGCAACCATTTGCTTGCTGCATGCAGCTCTTGGGGATTTTTTGTGTTTTAAGTCATATTAGTGCCTTTGGTATCCTTTTACATGTATTCAAGAAATTGAAACCATATTAAAAGTGATTGCGAGTGTGCATATTTAAGTGGTGTGAGTGTTGAAGAAGAGTCTTGAACTCCTCCAAAGTCCTACATGGAGTAAGTGACCTGAGAAACAAAATAAGTTTCTTCCACTTGTGATAACTGAGTGACATCTGACCTGAGCTGCCCTGGGCTGACACTGGATTTTCAGATGGCAGGCTGCTTGCAGTCACAGTGCAGAGACTGAGCTTCATGATGTCTCATATCCCTTCCCTGCTGCTGACTGTCTTTTTCCAAGTCTGAGCTGCTCCAATGTGTGTCCCTTTGTTTACACCCACCCTGCTTATTCTACCTCAAACCCCAAATCAGCACTGTGGTGTTTTTTGCCCTGGTGGGGTTGGTCCCTCAGTGTCTCTGCTCCGTGCAGCTTTTGCCTGTATCCAGTGGGGTGAGTCGGGGGTTGTACCTGCTGGTGGGCTTTGGAGGACAGCAGACAGGCAGGGGATAGGAGTTCTGTGATCTAAATTAGTTTAAATTGCTCTAGATCACTTACTTGTGCTTCAATAATGCTAATTTGACAAGGGATCTGAGGCTGGAGCTGTTGGACTTGGAGCAGGACACCCAGAAGTGGAGAGAGGTTGAAGGGGCAATCTGAAACCCATATAATGGTGGAGCAGTCGAGGAATATAAAAATTCCTTCATTACGAGACTCTGGATGGCTCTTTCCAAAGCCAAGAGGAAAAAACAATGGCAGGAGGAGGAGGAGGGAATGTAAACCAGTAGTTCTCAGAGTGGTTCCCTTTTGGTCTCCCATAGGCTTTGGTTGTTAATATGGTTCTTAATAAAAGCATTATGGGGAAAGGAGGTGTCTGTGGCACCGAGCACTTCAATGAGCTGCTTTAATTCCTGAGCACTTTGTTGAGGTGTAGGTCAGCTGCTGAGGCTGCTTGGTTGTCAGTGAGACAAAACAATAGGTGTTATCAAAACACCCAACCTGACAACACAATCCCAGGTTGCTCCAATAAGTGTATGAAGACAGACTTCTATTTTTTTAATTTTTTGGGGGGGAGCCAGCTGGTTTGTATTGTAACTGGAGCAGGGAGCTGGGACCACAGCACCATATATACAACCTGTTTCTCAGCTCCAGTGGCGTGTTCTGGGTGCTGATAATGCTCTCACAGAAGGGACATCCAACGACAGTCACAAAATACAATACAACTTCAGGTTAGATTGGGGTTGTTATGAGTTTGGTTTTTTCTCTCTCCCGAATTCTACGTGGCTCCACAGTGCCTTTGCTAATGAAATATTGAGCTGGGTCACCAGGGAATTAGTGTAGGAGCTGGTTTTGTATTGACATGTGCTTGCCCCCATTTGGGCACAAGAACAATTCAAGCTAGTCAGAACTTTGGGGAGTTTTTATTTGTTTTCTTTTTTTTTTTTTTTAAAGTATTAAGGAAGTGGTGAGTGGGGATCTCTGAGTACCAAAGCCACTCAGAGGGGCAGTCTAAGTAGAGCTGAAGGATCAGATATCTACGGATACCTGTGAAACTAAATGCTATTCCTTCTCAAATCAGCTTAATTGTAACCTCTAGCAGCTTGTTCTTACACTTTTATTTATTTATTTTTTTAAGGAGAAGGGCACTTTCTGGGTCTGTAATAATGTGAATTACAAACCATGCCCTGTCCATTTTTTTGCAGGCAAGGTGCAGGAAAAACTAAAAGGAAAAAAAAATGCCTCTGAACTTCAAAAAAAAAAAAAAGTCCCCAGCAAGTATTTCGATTGGTGTAGCACTGGGTTAGCAGAGTTCACCCCCCAGGGGAGGTGGGGGAGGAGAAACTCCATTCTTTTTCTAGCCCCCAAACAGTGATGCTCTTTAAAGAGAGGCAGGAGACAACTGAGTGTGAAACTCCCCTCCCAGTCTCCAGAGCTGTCAGGCCCGAGGGTTCAGCAGACTGAGGTATTTCTTGAATACTTTTATTTCATCTTTCTGCCAAGCTCCTGCTGACACACAGACTCTGTGGGGCGGGCGGGCTGGGCTGGTTCCCGAGGCAGGACCGGGATGGGTTCAATCGGGAGCGCGCGGTGGAACCCGAAGTGCGAGTTCTCCTCAGCATAAACACGGGCCGCTGGGAACAGGAATAACCGTGCCCTTGTTGGCTGCACTCGTGCCGAGTTGTAAATAATCTCCAACTTAGGCTACGGAAAAAGCCGCGGGAATATTTTTCCCGACCCCGAGAAACGTGGCGTTATTTGGGTTTACGGTGGGTAAGCTCCTGTGTCATACAGAAATGTCTAATGAAAAATTAACAGGGCGGAAAACTGTGCTAAATACTTAATGTGACAGCTGAACAAATCTTACTTTTGTGTGTGGAAGAACCTTGCTGTGTAACACTGAGCTAGTTGAATTTTTGGCAGTTACGTAGGGTTTACTGCTCTAAAAATAAAATATTTGAGTAGTGAATTCTGAGGGAATTGTGGGGCTAAGATCACTTAATACGTCAAAGCTGAGATGCATCTCTCTTGGGTGGCTGGTGTATAAAAAAACCCCTTTGTTTACAGTTGAGTACTGGCTTACAGGAGGTTGTCTACAGGATAGTAATTTGAGTGGCACTGATCTGAGGTATTAATTTGTGTTAGATTGCCTATTAGCTCCTCTGGGGAGGTCTGTTTGTATGGTCAGTAATATTCTGATTATCCTGAATAATTAAGACTCCAAGATCCTGCCCATCAGACTTAGTATTG